AAATAGAGAGATAGATAGATAGATACTACTGCAGTGTGCGAAATTACTTTATCATTGTAGATTTCTTTGTGACGTCACAATGCAGACTCTCTGGGGCATTTGTCACTTTGATCTTTATATTTATTTTATCTATTAATCTTTATATATGTATATGTATTAATCTTTACAGATATTTATTGATCTTCATATATGTTTGTTTATATATCCAGTGTTCATGTTAATCCTCTCTAAATTATTTAATCCAGTGTTCATGTTACTCCTATCTCAATATATGTAATCAATGGTGTTCATGTTAATCCTATCTCAATATACTTAATCCAGTGTTCATGTTAATCCTATCTCAATATATTTAATCCAGTGTTCATGTTGATCCTATCTCAATATATTTAATCCAGTGTTCATGTTACTCCTATCTCAATATATTTAATCCAGTGTTCATGTTAATCCTATCTCAATATATTTAATCCAGTGTTCTTGTTAATCCTATCTCAATTAATATATTTAATGCATAATGTACAAAGTATCAATATTGAAAAGAGGAGAATGACGTCTTTCGTCTCAGAGTATACAGTAGAACTGTAGCAAATATTGTGTAAACATGATATTCTGTAAACCTGCAGTACGTTGTACATTATTAACAATTTATGTTGTAGACCTATACATCGTGACATTATTTATTGAAACTGAGTTTCCATTGAATTTGTAGCATGATTAGATTAAATCGTGTGATATACTTAAATTACGCTATAAATATGTGTGGAGATAGCCTAACTGCGTTATATATATTCTTGCTAATCCTAAAAATACGTACATTAAAATTTAACTTTCAGGTTAATATGTAATATGGTTGTCTTAATCATGTGATATAGAAGGAATTGTAATTAGGTCAATTCACATTAACTTGTGATTTAAGATATCTAAAAAAGGTAAGTTCAGTACTGTTTATTGCAAGAAAATAAACCTAAAAACCTTGTTTTTATAAACAGATAGGATGGTTCCTATTATTTGGGATCGATATATAGCTTGCTTGGTAGTAGCTAGGCTTGTGTCCCTGAGTGGCATTTAGAGCATTGGATCGTCCCCATCCTTTTGGATCGATATAGATAGCTTATTGTTAGCTAGGCTTGTGTCCCTGTGTGGCATTTAGAGCACTGGATTAGTAGCTGGATTTGATAGCTACTCTTGTGTCACTGTGTGGCATTTAGAGCCTGGAATTCAGTCCTGGTTGAGTTTGATAGTGGACTGATTGTACCTGGATAGATACGTTTCGAGAACTTGTTTTGAAGTAGGTGTTTACTACAGAAGTAGTAATAGTAAGAGTAGTAGTAGTAGTAGTACAGTAGTAGTAGTAGTATTGTAGTAGTAGTAGTAGTAGTAATAGTAGTAGTAGTAGTAGTAGTAGTAGTAGTAGTAGTAGAAGTAGTAGTAGTAGTAGTATAATTTATACTCTAAGAACACTTCAAGAACCGATGTTCTATTCTTTACCGTCATATTTATACTCTAAGAACATTTCAATAGCGCATGTCATCTCTTCTCTACAATCATAATCATAATCTAAGAACACTTCTAGAACCCGTGTTATGTCTTTTCTATTATCAAATTCATACTCCAAGGACCCCGCCAATCTGAAAATGGACCCGATATTGATAAAAACATAAATATTGAATAAACGTTTCTTTCTCTACTTTTCCTTCTTATTTTACACCAATTCCAGGAAGATAAATGTTCAATTATTTCTGAAAATACAGAAGAAAGTTTTCACAGGGAAATGAATGAAGCAGTAAAAAGAAAGTTCGCAATTTCTCAATTTTATTAATGGCCGCTCTACTCACAATGAATATAAATGTTTAAAATTTTCCATAAAGCAGCAGTCGAGACGAAAATGTTTTATTATCTAAACTAAACAAATACAGCAAAAAAGGGGGTAGCCACGAACATGATCCGGTTTTAGCAAAAAATAAATATTTGAATTTAACATTTCATTAGAAGTGATTTTCGACGTAATTAAAAGTAAGCCTCCATTTCAAGAGGTACATGCTGGATTCACAACGGTATCCTGTAAACCTTTGCAAAATGATGAGACTATTCTTTTTTTCTAACTACTAGGCTTTTAGGGCGCTTCGCGACCATCTTCTATTTAAATTGTAAACATGTTCTTTTTGTTTACATTTTAGAACAAAGAAGAAAATAATTTTGCAGATTTAAAAAAAAAAATTCGCAGATTTTCAAGAATTCAATTTTTTTTTTTAATTTAAAACCTTCAAAACACATTTTTTTTTAATTTTTATCATTCATAAANGTAGAGAGATAAAGTTTATTTAAATAGGGAATGTATAAACATTTTCCAGATATAAACATGGAAGTAAGAGTAGATCTGGGTGAATAAAAAACTTTTAAAACTTAAAAAATACTTTAAACCTTTTATCTTAACCATTTTATCTAGAACTGTTTTATGGAGTCAACCCTAACTTTAATCTTTATTGTTATCATTATTTCTAAACTTGCAAATCATCATTTTTTATTTTTTTGTCATTTATTGTATCTTTTAATTTTGTATATTTCCTATTTTGTTTGTTTGTCCAACCTGGGGTAGGTTTAGTTTGTTTAAAATGATGATTTATATTTGCATCAGTTGGTGTTAGCTTCTCAACATATACTTAACATATAAGTTGTTTATTTATATTTATATTAATTTGTTTAGAGTATATATCCAGGTTTCATTTACAGCCTACTCAATATCTATCATCCACGATCTTCATTTTCCTTATTTTCTCCTGTAAAGGGACTGTCAACGTAAATGGGTATGCTCAAGTCACAACGCTACCCTTTAAAGGGAGTGACCGGCAATGCTGGGTTATAGTTGAACAGTATTATTGAGACATTTTTTAGGATTCGTTTGTGACTTATCAGACGTTTTTACGGCGAATATTTGTTTAGCAGGAGCGCAAATGCAATCCTCAAAATCCTCATAGAATGTTCATTTTGAAGGGATGATTTTGAGAATAGGTTTTATTCAAATTATTCCATGACGACCACGAAAAAAAGAAACAAACAAATTTACAGTAAACTAATTAGTTGTTCAGGAACAGGTTGAGAAAATAAAATTAACTCTTATCATCGAAAATAAGTAATCTTAGTCAGTTAAAGTTTCTTTAATGTCTCAGTGTTTAAAACCATTTTTTACATTTTTTGTCGTCGTTATTTAATAATTTAAAATAATAGATTCTTAAACATAATCATCCAAATGTATTACTTTGAACTTCGACTTTGCGCTCAAACACAGTAATTATACATCATAAAAACGTTTTATATTATATGTCTCAATTATGCATCCTAAAAAATGTCTCCATAATACTACATTCTCAGTTCAACTGCCATACATTGCCGGTCGCTCCCTTTAAACCTAGTATTAGCAAAAATCAGACTTGTATCGTGTTAACATCTACAAATTAACAATTGGGTTTCTCTTTAAAAGTGACTTGAGGATTTATGCAGAAAAGACAAACAAGGAAGTTGTCAGCATTCAACACTTCTTGAGTTAGAAAAACGACGATATCTACATGATTGTTGATCAAATAAAGGTTTAAAAGGTTTCGTTGTGAATCAAGTCTAAAACTTTTTAAATTGTGGATTTATAAAAATCCTTATCTTAGAAACAATTAAAAGATATCGTCGTTTTGAATGAAAAGAGATAAATTCTGCCAACTTTGTAACTTGTCTTTACCGTTTAAAACCGCAAATGCCCCGAGATTAGCTCTTTAATGACATGTGTTGTTATAAAAATACTTTGATATATCTAAAAAAATCTAATCTAAGTTTAATCTCGGTGCTGATCAAAACCTGAAAAAACTCAATTATCTGGTAAGTTGAGGAAAAGTAGTAAATTCTTCAGATAGAAATGGTTGACAGAAAAGTGATTTTACTCATACTGGTTTCTGCTTTCTATCAAACCTTTTATAGATTCCACAATATCAATAGAAAATGAAATTTTTTGATTTACTGCAAAATATTGAGTTTAGCATAATATATATTTTATGTGTAAAATAAAATTAATTAAAATTACGTAATTTCACAAATAATTTCTGTACATTAGAAAATATTTCTTTTCTATCAAACCTTTTATAGATTCCACAATATCAATAGAAAATGAAATTTTTTGATTTACTGCAAAATATTGAGTTTAGCATAATATATATTTTACGCTTGAAAGAAAAAAAATTAAAAATGCACCAAAAAGGTATTCATAGCAGAGGAGACATGTAGGACTGGACACGTTCATTCAGTTAAAATAGCTAACCGTTAACAACTTTTCAGGTAGCTGTTCGTTCTTAGCTAGCTACTTAACGAATTTTCCGTTCAAATTTCGTAAAGTTAACGTTTGTTAACGATGTCTATTTTATTAGCAGATTCAACGGAAGATATCTCAGAAATGGTTAACGGCGTTCACAAGTCGTTAACGATCCTTTATGTAAAATTGGCAGAGACAACTAATAGACGACATACATACACAAACATCGAAACAAATAAAAAAAATGATTAAGACACAAATATTATTGTTTTTAATGTAATTCTGCAATTCCGCAAGTTAAAGGATTTTTGTCGTTTGTTAACGGAATCTATATTCATTAGTTAATTTTAAAAAATGCAGTTTTTTTTTAATTGCATGATACGCTAATTCTTTGCAACCTAACATGCACTTTAAACCATTGACATTCAAAACTAATAGATCTAACTAAATTAATTTTTAGAATTTTTACAAAAAAATGACAGTTTTAAGGAGGTTTAAGAGGATATTTGGATATTTGCCATTTGGACATGTTTTTAGTAAATTTAAATGGAAACCCGGCCATTATCATCTATATTTTTAATTCGTTCAATTCCAAAATGAATTTTGATTTTTCAATTTTTCTTCAAAATATCGTTTCTAATTTGCTATAGTAGACTTTATTGCGGTGAAGACTAGACCTTTTTGATGAAATAGTTATTCTTATTAAAAAAACATGAGGTACAGTAAGAACCAGAAAACTCTGGAATAGGAATACAACATTAAAGCAATATTTAAATATATTTCAAGTTGATACAAAGCAAATTTTTTACCAGTAACATATTAAATCACTTGAAAATGAAATGGGTCTTTATTCACTGCACAATTGTTGTGTCTCATGTTCATTAGACTATTTTAAGTCATAATTTTAGTCGAAAAGTCGTCTTCCTATTCCACAGTTCACAGGTTCTCACTGACATAAAACATCCAAAGTTACGCTATTTTTTTATTTAGGGCCTGCAGGTGCGTTCAAATGCAGGAACGGTATATTAATACCTATATCAGCCAAGTAATTAATTCATTTATTAATACCTATATCAGCCAAGTAATTAATTTATTTATTAATACCTATATCAGGCAAGTAAATAATTTATTTATTAATACCTATATCAGCCAAGTAATTAATTTATTTATTAATACCTATATCAGACAAGTAATTAATTTATTTATTAATAGCCATATCAGCCAAGTTATTAATTTATTTATTAATACCTATATCAGCCAAGTCAATAATTTATAGTTACCTATATCAACCAAATAACTAATTTATTTGGTAATACCTATATCAGCCAAGTTATTAATTTATAAATACCTATATCAACCAAATAACTAATGTATTTATTAATACCTATATCAGCCAAATAACTAATGTATTTATTAATACCTATATCAGCCAAGTTATTAATTTATAAATACCTATATCAGCAAAGTAATTGATTAATCTATTAATACCTATATCGGCCAAGTAATTAATTAATCTATTAATACCTATATCAGTCAAGTTATTAATTTATAAATACCTATATCAGCCAAATAACTAATTTATTTATTAATACCTATATCAGCCAAGTTATTAATTTATAAATACCTATCAATAGTCCCATACGCATGTACACAAAGAGAAGTTGTCAATTAACAGCTTCGCTTTTAGTTCTTCAAGTAATTTAGAAAATTCTTGTTAGGAATTAAAGCATTATTAATAAAAATTCTTTCATCATTGTATTGATATTAGCGCCGACCTTTGTACATAACTTCTAAAATCAAGGGTTTAAGTTTGAAATATTTTTGATGAAATTCTGTCAGGATATTGGCACCCTTTTTTCACGAAAAATTTCGTGCATCCTCAAAAATTTCGATCGTTCAAAAAAGCGATGCCCATCTCTAGGCCCAAAACTAGTAGTCCTGAGCTCAGAACTTTTGAATATAAGGGTCAATCATTGATCTCCATCTTGTTTGCAGAAATACATATTACTTTGAATTCCTCTTGGATATCCTAATGTGGTGATCAAACCAATCGAAAAGTTGCATAATCAGAGCCGGTACACCATGTACTGTACTGTATATGAATTCAGTCATACTGTCCAGTCAGACAACTATATAAAGTTTTATGCAACAAATGTAGCCTGAGCTGGGAACTTTTGATTTCTGGATATCGGGATTAATGCTTGATCCGTTCTTTTTCTTTATCTCGAGATTAAATAATGCTTGTTCTCCTCTTGTTATTAATCTCCAGATTAAGGATATCCCATTAAAAAGTTTTCAGCTCTGAGCTGAAAACTTTGGAATGGTGGATATCAAGATTAAGACTCCTGGTTTTACTAAGCCCAAGATTATTTTAATACGCATTCGATATCCAAGAAAGAAGTTAAAAATTTAACCAATTTTTAAGAAATCGGTTTTGATTTCTGGTGTTGATGGTGTCATATCAATTGAACTAAACATCGATTGAACGGACGTAAGTTTTGGATTAATGTTCATTAAGACTAACGTTCAAAATGACAATAGTCCTCAAATATGTTTTTTAATAATTTCATATATAGATGATTAAATTTATATTTGTTTAAATGCTCTAAAAGCCGGCTTGTGAGCAGCTGACTTTAATTCAATCGGATATTAGTCCAATCAATAGAGCATTGTATCTGTAATTGTTATCAAACGTAACTTTTATACAGTATGGATATCCAAGAAGAGGATTATATGAAGAAAATCAAAAGTGTGTACATTGGATAATCAGATTAAGTGATCGTGATTAAGGATATCTCATTCTAAAGTTTTCAGCTCAGGCAAGATTACAGAGATTGGATACTATGCACGGATAACTAAAATGAAGTATAGTTTCTGGACATTGGACTTCAAGATAAAAGGGAGTGTGCTAAAAAAAATGAGGGTATGGGCATGATCCCAAATTGAATTTGGGTTTGATTGCTACTAATTTTACTTCTATATGTTACGTCTGTAAGGAGATTAAACCCGAGTTTATTTCGGGATGAGCCCGTTTCATTTTTCGCGAACACTCTCTTTAAGCATTGCAGATTATTGTAATTTACACAAAAGTTTTGAATTCAGAATAACTTCGTCACAACACCCTGCATAGATGAATACAAAGATAAATACACACTACACAGAGCTGAAAACTTTAGAATGGAATTGGATGTTATAATATTATATCTAAATCTCAGTAACTGTAAAAATTTATAAATAGCCATAAAATATGCGGAAACAGCTTAGAATCAAATTAAAAACTTAATATGTACAGCATACCATAATCAATAGGTTTAGAAAATGACACTTTATAGATTCCTATAGAAACTCCAAAGATCTGGATTAAACTGTACATAATTAACCTATTCTGCTCTTAGTTTATTTCTACCGGAGGTGCTGACTGGGCTGGTCAGTCTAAAGCACCTGGGGAAACTTGGATCCAACCGCAATCTCCCAGAGGTCCGTTGATAAGGCCACCACCTCAACCATCAATGAGCTGGAATTTAGGTTCGTTAAAGGGACTGTAAGCATAATTTCAAGTGACCTTTCATTAATAGGTAGGCGTGTTCAATTCACAACGGTAACCCTTAGACTTTTGTCCGGTCAACGATGAGGTAGATATTCTCCATGCTAGTGTACACTTGGGTGGTTTCTTGGCACTTAATTTTCCGCTATATTAATAAAAATATCTAGGAAACCCTTGATCAAGCAAAGGTTTAAAGCGTATGTTGTAACTCGGACATCTATAAATGGAAGGTCACTTGAAATTACGCTTAATGTTTAAACATTAAAACATTAACCGATCAAAAATGTCGTTTTTAAATATAGGTCGCTATCCTCCACAGTATGCTGTAGACACTACACAATACAGACCATCTTACCCAGTCCCAGGTAACAGATCATAGTGGATAGGGTCAATTTCAATTCGAACCAGACCGACTCCTCGTACTCGGTACTAGTCTTAGTGACGCGCGGCATGTGCAGGCCCAACCTTATCCAAAGTGGTTTCAAAGAAGCAATGGAGAAATTATCAGAATTATAATCACTTTTTGAGTCAGAAAATCGATGTTATCTTACGTACATTTCAAGGGTACCTTGTTAAATCAGTCATTGCCATCTTTGCATGGAGAATCATTTAACATTATGCTTACAATCCCCTTAATAAATACATTTGTTATCCAGCTGACTTTCTCTTTAAATAAAATTTGAATAAAAGTTATCAAATTTAAGAAATTTCAGATGTGTGTAAGATGACCCCTCCAGCGTCCTGTCCTCTATCATGGATTGGTCAAACTCCAAGATGGTTCTTCAACACAAATCTCTACACTTGCGTTGAATTCATGGCAAACACCTAAATTTAGATTGAATAAAGTACATAGTTAATTAAACAATTTATCCTGAAAATCATATTGTCAGAGAATAGTCAAGAATCAAACATGTTTTGGTACATTGAGATATTAGACAGTTAATAAGGCGTAAATTCATGCAAGGATGACAATGGCAGATTCACATTTGTAGAGTCTTTTTTGTATAGAAATTACAATAAAAAATTATCAGTTTTCAAAATGATAACAAATTAAAACTTCATGACAAAGCTTTAAAGTGAATCGTTGTAAGTGTCTCCTTTATAATTATGCGTACAGTCCCTTTAATATGATTTCAACTAAATCTGACAGCCTGGTTTTACAATATTCTAATTTTCAGTTGTTTTCCACTTTCTCTAAATAATAGGTGTTTGCTACACTAGTATGGATGCGGAGAGGGACATAATAACTTTATATCAGGAGTGTTCAGATAGAAATTCTTGAAAATTCAAAACTAAAATACAACTTAATTGAAGATATGAAAAAGGATAAAGAGAAGTAAGGTCCCCCCCCCCCCCAAGTTAAAATTCAGATTCAAATAATTTTGTAATTTTATCTTCTTTTTATTTGCTTTTGTGTTCCATATGCAATTTTCTTAAAATGAATCTTCATAAGTTAAAAGAAAATCTTCTTTAATATTTGATTGCTTTCTTGCACACATTCCTTTAATTACTTTCAAAAAACCATAACAAAATAGTTTTAAAAAGAAATATTTATATAGATTGTTTATTCTGAAATTATAAACCATACTGTCAACAGATAGAAACTGACAACAACATATTCTTAAATTGTTTTCATTAATTTTTTTATTCAATTCCGCAATTTAAAGATATTATTGCACGGACTCATAGGTTCCCAAAACTTCCCTGATTTAAAATTTGCACACCAATGTAGATTTTTTTTGCGTCGTTGTACGCAGCACGCATTGTTCAATTTCTTAAATAAGCGCGCAACTATTTCTATAGAAATTCCTAATTTTATCAAATGCCATATGATTGCATGTTTGTGCTTTTCTTAAAATCATACTTATTAGATTGGGGTTCTTTTGCCCAAAAGGTAACAGGACCTCTGATTCTTCGTGGCCACTACCACATCTTTTAATAATGATTGTTAGAATCCATTTACATATCTAGATTATCCTGAATCCGTTGTAATTTTGTGGAAAAAAGTCATAGAGTATATAATATGGGGTTTCCCTAAATTAGTTCGCTTTAACAAAGACGACCTCTAAATATATGGAGGCCTCATTCAGGGATAAATTTATGAACGGAAAAAGTAATCAATGCAAGCTACAATAGATACAATGAAATAATTTTTATTGTGTCAATTATCACCATGAAACACAAGACAATGCATTTTTAAGAGTAGTTTTGTGACAAAACCCAGTCACCTCCCCCCTGACCCCCTAAAATAAAAATAACAAGCTTTAACGTTTCTAGTTCAATGAACAGGAACTTTTATATCACACAGTTTTCAAGCTTTTATTCCTTGATTTCCTTGATTAAACAAAGAACTTAAGATTATAGTTTTAGTTTCAAGAAAATTGTATTTATCAAACATTTCTAAAGGAAGGTTCATTATCTTTCTATTGATGCCAAATTTAATAGCAGTGTAATGAACTGTATTGAAACACTAGAGAGTGAGTGTAAGATGGTTTGCTCCGAAAAACCGGAAGTTGTGTACAATTTACCACGTGGTAACAGAGTGCCTCCATTTTTTCATCCCAGGCGACCAGCTGATCCAAACTTCTATCCTAACCAGCCAAACCAAATCACCAGCATGCCTCCAGTTTACAGAGGTAAATGTCAAATCTTAAAAACCCATTATAATCTATTTACGTCTTTGTAAATAGTGATTGAAATCGGTTTTTTGAGCGAACAAAATATTCAAAAATCGAACTCTAAATTTTGTGGAAAAAAATTTCGTTTTTAACTTAATGATCGTTCAGTGAGAAAACGAACGAAAAAGATGGAACATTTTTAGAATGAACGAAATCAAATTTTTTTGAACGTTTAAAAACCTAAATAGGTCGTTCACAAACCATGAACGAACAAAATGAAAAAAAAATCGAAGGTGCTCATCTCTAACTGTAATGGGTATTATTAGGTGTAAAAAAGTTTTTTTTCAGGATTTTTAATATTTTATTTTCAGTGAAGTAGAGAGATAAAGTTTATTTAAATAGGGTGTAAATTATTTTAAACATTAAAGTATTTTATTGCAAGGTCCTACGTGGGATTCCACCAAAAGCTTGTCCGGGCTAACTGGGCTGACCAAATCTACCTTTGATAGGTATCTGCAGAACAATAGACATGTACTAGGTAAGTCAGTATTTTCTTTGTTTATGCGTTTTTTAGACTTAAAGGGACTGTAAGCGTAATTTCAAGTAATACTCCACGCAAAGATGGTAATGCTCGATTTACAATGCTAAACTTCAATATTTTTCTGATTTGAGTTAGATATTCATATTTCTGTTTCTTTAAACAGTTTATTTATATTTGTGAAAACGTATCCACCCCCAAAGTAGGAGTTTTGAACGTCGAATTTGCGCTCAAACTCAGGATGTACAGATCTTTAAAAGTTTAATATGTCTCAAAAGAATCCGAAAGAAGATTTCCACAACACTGCATACTCAGTTCCACTACCTTACATAGCCGGTCACTCCCTTTAAGAAGATTTTCATTTTTATAGGCCATTATGAAATTCCATAGTATGGTCAAATGCAAATTCATAAACTCAGCCAACCAAAATCTCAAATTTTAAACTGTTATTACATCTTAAAGTTTTTGTGCTTCATATATATACCTGTATTTGCTTCAGTTGAGTTCTACGCTAACTGGTGTCAAACCTGTATTGAATTCCAACCAAAGTTTAAACTTATGGCAAGAAATCTCAACTCCCTTGGTGTTGCAACTGCTCAGGTATTTTTTAAGCGATAACAAAATTATCAAAAAATGTAATAAATAAAACTTTCATTAAAAGTTTGTTTGTGATGGTAAGGTTTACCTTCCAAAATAATAAGCAATGCTAGAATCTCGTGCTTGTATGTCTGAAATGAAAACTGTGAAAAAGAGTATGTTTCCTATTTGGAATATATCTATATAATAAAGCTATATATGTATATATTTGTATATATATTTATTAGTTAGCTATAGCTGAAATTTTTTAAGGGAACCCACGGGTACAGCTGGGAGTATCATATTGAATGAAAACGAAAATTTTCGTTAAAATTTTTTCGTTAAATTAGTTCGAAATTTTCGACCTTTCGTTCAAAATCGTATTTTTTCCCAAAAATTTTCACAAAATTTTGACATGATTTAACTAACATTTTTGATAAAATATAAGGAATTTTAAATTCTTGTTAAAACTTTTTGTTTAAAAATTGTTTAATTGAAGTAAAGTTGACAACTTAATTTGCTGATTTTAACATCCTTGTCACATAGCAGTCGTTGCAGAAATATTTCAATAAAATTACCGATGAATAGCGCTTAGGCTGTTTAGTTTACCCTGAAATTACCCAAAAAAGTGAACGGTCCCTTTAACTCTTAGAAAATTATTTACCAAAGATTCACATCAAACATGATACTCAGTCATTTTTTAATCGTCATGTTCAGTTGAACACCCTATAATAGATAAACAGTATTTACACATACATTAGATAATTCGTCTGCATATTAATTAAACTTTTATGTTTTAACACCAGTCATACTCTAGTACAGCATTACACATACAGGATGAGACTTAAGAAACATCAGTCAGAATTTGTTGGGTCTTCGTTGAATTTTTAATGTTTCCTGCAGCTTTATTTTTATTTTTATTTGCCAATTTAAATTTTGAAAAACATTAACATATGCCACACAATATTAATTTTTTCAAGGGATTTTCAATTATATAAATTTTTGATCTGTAGCTTAATTAATAAGAAGGTGTTCAAGCATTTCTGATTTTTTTGAAACACCGACCCCCGTTTAACTATCCTCCACCCTACCCTTTGCATTAAAAAAATTGCCAAATGCCAACCATGATGTTGAAAAAGTTAAGAAGTTTCAGCGTTCTAATGCAAGACGTTTTTAAGTTATTTAGAAAAAAACACACACCCCCCCCCCCAGCCGTGATAGGGTTAAAGATTTTCAGGTTGTCATAAAAGTATCATCCTTTCTGCGTAACCCTGTATATTCAAGATTTAACACTAAACACTAACAGATGTGAAAATAGAAATGCAGAAAATCACTTATAAACAGTTTATTTTATTAGTTTTCATGAATACGATTTTAAACTAATATTTTCAGAAATTATTGTTTTCCTGATATTATTTGCTAGTTTAAATTATCTTTATAAATAACATCAAATGAAAAATCGATTTTTATCAACCGAAAATTTAACCAAAATTCGTCGAAAGTACATCGAAATTCGCGAAAATTTCAAACGAAAATGAACCTTTTTTGTTCGTTCATTTTCATTAATTTCGTTCATTTCGTTCAACAAATATTCAATGGAAACCCTAAGAACAAATAAATTTTTGTGTGAAAAAGGGCGTCGAATTTTCCAAAAGATTTGAAAAAAACTTACGTTTTTACTAAACAAACAATTTTTTGGAACAAACTTCTTAAAAACAATACATTTTTAATGAAGGAACGATTATTTCAAACAAATTTTTGAAAAAACGATAGTTTTTTATCCTAAACGAGTGTGTTTTTTGAACGAACAATGTTATTGAAGGAACGACTGTTCATGGAGAAAACGAACGAAATAGATGGAAAATGAACGATACTTTAAAGAACCAACTAAATTTTTTCAAACGATTGAAAAAAAACTAATATAATGAAAAAAGTGCAATGTCCCAAACTGTGAAGAATAACTTTTTTTGAAAAAGTCCAAAAACCGTAAACTATGTAGGTTAATGCAGTTGAAGAAGATGAATTGAGAAGAAGATTTAATGTGCAAAGTGTTCCTACCCTGTTGTTCTGGAGTAGAGATCTACCAGACTGCCCGAGGAAATTCTCAAATGTAAGTTAAAATTTCTAAAAAAGGGATGTTTTAAGTAGGGTTTCCAGCAAAAAGGAAAAACCGTTTCGCGAAAATTTTGCATTTTTTAGAAAAAACTGTTTAAGTGGCAGTAAAAGTTAGATAACTGCCAAATACGCGGGGTTTTTGTTGAATATAAGAGATTTTTTCGCATATCTGGCATTCTTCAATTATTTTTGCTGCCAAGTAAGAGATTTTTTATTTCATAATTTAGACTGTAATTTCCCCAGCGCGTTTTATGCAACAAAAATAGGCTGATTCTGTGTTTTTTCAATTCAATCTAACATGAATGTGAATCAAATATGTGTGACTCCTCATTGGTAATAATGCATACACAATCCTGAGTCCTTATCATCAGTGCTTCCACTTTTTCGAGATGCAAATATTGTGGTTTATATTTAAAGAACATAAATGTTGATAAATATCCTGGAGGGACTATATGCATAATTTCATGTGAAAATATTACATACTAGGCATTCAGGGCGTTTCGCACCCATCTTCTATTTCAATTTTAAATGGTTGTTCTATCTGTAACATCTTATCTGTGTACAATAGATTAAATAATAACAAAAAAGTTTTCATAATTTTGCGCATTTTCAAAATTTTACAAAAACCCAAAACTTTGGATATTTGTAATTTTGCACATCCATAAATCTTCCATGGGGGTTGTGTACGAAGGTCCCACACAAAATGTTGGCCCTATCGGTTCAGTCGTTTTGAAGTTTATTGGATACAAACAGACAGACAAACAAATAGACCAGCAATTTTTTTAAAGATTTGATTTATAACTTTTTAAATTTTTCAGAAGTTTGGATTGAACTCCTCTAGCGTCGTATCCTGGGTTCAAAATCAGCTTGGCGCTGCATCTTCCCAAATATCCTGGATGCTATCACCGTCTTCATCATCTCAAGGACAACATTTATTTCCACATACAATATTTTACTTAAAAATTTAAATTGGAACATCTTGGTAATTTTAGTTCGTACAAGGATCCAAAAAATATTTTGTCTTTTTAAAAAAAAAGTTACATCGTTTTTCTGTATCCATATGTTTTGGAAAATGGGCTGGGAAAAATCATGAAATATCAGAAAATACATTTTTTAATTTAAAAACGATTTTTTAATAATATTAATTAATATTAGTTTCTTCTATCCTTCTATCCAAAATCTGATAAAACGGGTAGATATTTTAGAATAAATTTTCAACCAGTTTGTTTTATCACCTAGTAATAAATGTTTATAAAACAGGGAATACTTTCGCCAGGAACTTTGTCAAAACATTTCTGTAAAACTTCAACGCAAAAATTAAATGAATAAAACTAATCTTAAAGTAAATATCGCAAAGGCCAGCTGATTTCTACCTAAAATGTTGACCAATAATTAACAAAACCGATGATAAAAAGGCACTAGGGTAAAATTCTTATTGTAATACACATAAAAGCAGCTCTGTATGTGCAAGTAGTTTAGTTGGACTAAATTAAAAAAGTAAACAGTAAACTTAGACTGCCTTTCATTTTTCTCAAGAAATAATTCTTTATTCACAACTTTTATCAATGTATAAGGATAAAATTATTTTCTGAGTAGGGCTGGGCACATTCAGTAGGGCTGGGCACATTCAGTAGGGCTGGGCACATTTAGTAGGGCTGGGCACATTCAGTAGGGCTGGGCACATTCAGTAGGACTGGGCACATTGAGTAGGGCTGGGCACTTTTAGTAGGGCTGGGCACATTCAGTAGGGCTGGGCACATTCAGTAGGGCTGGGCACATTCAGACATTGTTATTTAGCTAAGAACGGAATATTGCCTTAGTATCTTATAATTCTAGTAATTTCTAATATGCTATAAACTAGAGTATTGCTCTAAATATTAACAGTATTTTCCGTTATTTTTAAAAGTTACCATTTATTAACAATTTCAATTTTAGAAACGACATTATCAGAAGATATTTCAGTAATTCCTTGCCGAGTTGCGTTGCAAGTTGATATTAATTGTTTTATGCAAAAATAGCTTGGCAAATTTGAAGAAAATATTGAAAAACATTAAAACCTGTAAAAAACATCAAAATGCATACAATTGTATTTAATTATCCGTTTTTAGTTTCAAACATTTCTAAACTGAAAAATTTTTGAAAGTCGCCATTATTTTGTAACACATCCCTTCATTATTTTCTGTTAACTATTGTTTTTTCTTCAATTACAGCTATTGACGTTCATTAACTATTTAAAAATTAACAGTTTATTTAGTTCGTTAACGGACTTTTCCGTTATTGTTCAAAAACTTGCTGTTAATTAGCAGAATGTTGCCCAGCTATATAAAATATTCTGAGCCACTTTTTAAAGTCTCTGCTAGAACCTGTTATTTCTTCGGCCAGAGTAATCAAGAACACTTCGGAACAAGCAAAAGCTTATTTTCAGGTGTCCTATTATGTTACAGTAGGATTTAACTAAAACAATTGTCATTTTCTATGTTCTATAATCACTTTGATTTTGACACAATAACTCAGTTCGTTGTCCTCAGTACCAGTCAATTTTTCACCCTCAACATTCAGACCTCAAGAGACTACATTCACTTTCCGACCACAACCAGCTAGATCTACTTTAATACCTAAACCAACTACCTCAACACGTACCCCTGCTCAAACAATATTTACAATTAAACCTGAAGTAGCAAATCCAGCGAAAACGACAACTCCAACAACATTCAAGCCACAACCGGCAATATCTACCTTCAGACCTCAAACAGCAAGCACAATAGTCACCCCAAAAGCAGTTACAGTTCCTATAGGTATGTATACACTTTACATCAAAAAGTTTATATAAAATACAACGAAAGTAAATTATAGATATTCAGTTTTCATTCTTATTAATGTATTATAGTGTTGGGTGTTTAAATCAATGATGATGACTTTCTATGTAAGCTTTGTAGAAAGTGTAATGTAAAAAGTGTTATTAACGGGGAAAATAATCTTTGTTTTGAAATATTGTTTTAGAGAATTTATTCCGGGAAGAATGTTAAATATACGAAAATGTGCAAAATAAAAAAAATAAGAGCTACCCTGACTTATTATAAAACTTATCAAGATATGTAATTAATATTCCATCTGATTTCAAGGTTAAATACCCAAAATTTTACATAAAATAATAAACAAACCTAAAATAAATTCTGTACATTTTAAACTATTTGATTTAATTTCATCTAAAAGTAATAATTTAATAACAGAGAATATTTTCCCTTTTGATTGACAGATTTCCTTTGTTTAAGTGTTTATGTGTCTCTGCTGTATGAACGTCATTTTTATTGTATTAATATACTTACAGAGACTACTGATACAACATTTGTAGAAACTACCTTCACAGCTCAACCAGCTAGCTCAACAATTAGGTCAAAACCAGTTACTTCTACAAAGAGACCCCAACTTGCTACCTCTACCTTGAAAGAACAGCTTGTTACAGTTACCTCAACAGCCACAGCAGAACTAGCTACAAGTTCTCCAACAGAAGCAACGACAACAATTTATGCAACAACTTATGATACAAGTGATGTTTCATACGCCTGGGAAAATGAAGGCGATTATGTTCTTCCAACTGATATACCTACAGGTATATCTAATTTTAACATTGTAAAAGGAGTGTTCGCAAAAATAAAAGACCGTAAAGGCAGATCCCAAATTGAATAAGGATTTGATAACGATTAATTTTCCTATTATTTGTAGATTTTTTAAGGAGGAATGGTTTTTAGTCGAACAAAAAGTCGTCCTGAAAAGGACCATTGTATATATAAATAATGAACTACATGGGGTTAATTTATTTGTCTTTAATCTTTGTATCTTTGTGACAGAAACAATCAATCTCAAGAAATGACGAGTGTCAACCCAGACCAATATAATTTCAATAAAGGTCGAACTAACATCTATTTTTTACTCCACAGATGTTTGATCCATCACCATCACCGAATTTGTAATATCTGAAGGATTAGTATTAAATTTAATTCTGTGAATTTGTAAATCGGTAAGATTTGTTTTAACCACTTTCTCCATATAACCGCGACAAATAATAGGAACATTGATAGTTATTAAACCCGAATTCAATTCGGGATCTGCATTATCCCCTTTACATTTTTGTGACACTCCCTTTAACATAATCAAGAAGGAAAGCCACTCAAATCTATTTCTTTTTCCCAGGAACCACATTTGAGTCAGAGTGTGATACTGTATGTGTAAAAGCGTGGAACCCCGTGTGCGGTAGTGATAACTTAACGTACTCTAACCTTTGCGAATACAATGTGGCACAGTGCAAGGTAACTTTTTCAAGGATTCCCTTGTAATCGTTTTCTGTAATCGTGGAAAATATTGTCGTTTTTTCTACAGTTTAAAAGTGTTCAGTTCAAATGATTCCTACGTGTTTCCATACAGTGGAAACGCGCAAGTCACTTTCGTGGAGAAATCGCAATCGAAAATAATTAGTTTTCAAAATTATAAAAAATTATTTCTAAGAAATACTTGATTAGAGAAAGCTTTTAAGATTATCATTGTGAATCGGGCATTACCATTTCTAATTATTTCAACTGGTAGAACTTAAATTTTAAAAGAAATCTTATATTTTCAAATTGATTAGAACTCTGATCTTTACATGCTTGGAACGGGAGAGTGTTCCAACCTACAGCTTGGAACTATCTGTAAAAGAACTGAGTTCCTATGCCAGGAGTCCGGGTAAGAAATGGCGCCAAATTTAAAAAATATTGCGGCAAAAACACAATCCTGACAGGAACTGGGTTTTTGCCACAAACTCTGTTACGCAGGTAACGACAATGTATAAATTTATGAAATTAGATTTTGTTGCAAACACTCAGTTCCTTTGCGTATTGAGCAATCATGCATAGAATATGCATTAACTCCTCTTAATGATCTCTGTTTGTTTGTTTGTCCGTTTATAACTCAGAAACCCCTTGGCCGATTTGCGGTAGAGCCAAAGTAATAAGAAATGTTCTTGGTTTTCTCTCCAAATGCTAAGTTGAGTAAGTTGACATTTAAAGAGAAAAAACAGTTTCCAGACAAACCTAAGCTTTCTCTATTTAAGAGTCAACCCACTCAGCTTGGAATTGTTTTATCATCAAACAAATATATATTTTGAAGAAAGATCATATTATGTTATATTAAAGTGGAACGGTTCTATTTTCTCCATATTTGAAATTTTTATTATATTTGACAAAATATTTAAGAGAGTAAATATCTAAAGCTTAATATTAAAAAGTTACGAAAATGGAATCTTTGTTTAAATATATATTTATCTTTAAAACCTGTGTTTAGTAAGTATATATCCTTGTATTAAAGGAAAGCATATCCCTGTGTTAAGAAATTGTGTATTCTTGTGTTCAGGAAGTATATATATCCCTGTGTTTAGGAAGTGTACATCTCTGTGTTTAGGAAGTGTATATTTGTGTTTAGTAAGTGTATATTTGTGTTTAGTAAGTGTATATCCCTGTATTTAGGAAGTGTACATACCTGTGTTTAGGAAGCGTTTATCACTGTGTTTAGTAATTATATATCCCTGTGTTTAGGAAGTATATTTCCCTGTATTTTAATGAAGTGTATATCCTTGTGTTTAGGAAGAATATATCCCTGTGTTTAGATAGTATATATCCCTGTGTTTAGGAAGTTAATATTATTGTGTCTAGGAAGTTTATATCCCTCTGTTTAGGAAGTTTTTATCCTTGTGTTTAGGAAGTGTATATCCTTGTGTTTAGGAAGTATATATCCCTTTGTTTAGGAAGTGCATATCATTGTGTTTAGGAAGTATATATCCCTGTGTTTAGGAAGTGTATATCCCTGTGTTTAGGAAGTGTATATCCTTATGTTTAGGAAGTCTATATCCCTGTGTTCAGGAAGTATGTATCCCTTTGTTTAAGAAGTGCATATCATTGTGTTTAGGAAGTATATATCCCTGTGTTTAGGAAGTGTATATCCTTCCTAAAAACCTGCAATGGAAAGCTGGATTGTGAGAATGGATCTGATGAGAAGTTGTGTGAAGGATGCTCAAAGGAAGAATTAGAAATATTTGACTTAAAAATAAATCAATTCAAATCTACTATAAAAAAAGAGTAGCAAAAAAAGAGTTTAAAGCATTACACCTTTATAAAATGTTGATTAAACACAGATAATTTATAATTATTTTAAAAACACTATAAAAATTTGTAAATTTATAAAAATCAATGTAATTTTCTTGTCTCTCCAGACCGAATTTACTTGTTGGGATGACACTTATATAAAAAAAACATATAATTACAATTTTGTTCAAAATGTGTAAAACTTGCTTAGTATTCAAAAAATCAACTTCATTTTTTTGTTTCTCCAGACTGAATTTACTTGTGGGGATGGAACCTGTATAGATTACTCCAAAAGATGTGACAAAAAAATTGATTGTAAAGATTCCAGGTAATAACTTTACCGCATAAAATCTAGGGTTTCCTATTTTACCCTGATCAATTTGTTTTCGTAAAGGCCTTTCCGAACCTCATCTAAATCTGTTAAAAAAAAATAAACCATTGAAAACATTTAGAAATTAATTTATAAAATATCTACCCTCAAATGCTACACAGAGCAAGTTTACGGGACGGAGTTCAATTCCATATGAAATTGATTCGAATTATTTGTCCCGTAAACTCCTTAAACTAGATTCGGAATATTCGTCCCGTAAACTCCTTAAAAGTGATGAAACATTTCACACCCAGCTCTGTGTAGCTTTAGGAGGTATAATTGTTCTCAATTCGGTATAAACAAAATATAATCTAAAAAAGGCGAACAACTCCGAGGTACAGAGAAAATTTAAGTCCAATAGCTTTATATCACGCCGTGCCAAAATAATAGTGCTATAGGTAATTTTATGAAACATTTGTGTTCTTGTCTTATTGCAATGACTATTTCTAGATAAATGAGCTTTTAAAGAAATCAGAAATAAAAATATAAAGTTAATTTTAATTCTATTCTATTTTCATCAATATATATTAATATCCTAAATTTTTGGAGAAAATCCGGGAACCAATCAAAACTTTATGCATACATGCTTCTACATCTAACTTAACTCTATATAGTACAATAGCACTTTCATGATAAATTTGAACTTGAAGTGAGAACGAATGATAAAGTACGCAATAGTTTGATAAATATGTTTAGTGATGAGTCTGGATGTATGAAACCATGTTCCCTCCAGGAGTTTACATGTAACGATGGATCCTGTATAGAACAGGCTCAGAGGTAGTTTATCGTTTATTAGAATACTATTTCTTAAATATATTTAAAATAGACTTTGATGTCTTTTTCATCAGCATTCAACACTATTTCTAAATATGTTTCTAAATATGATGGCAAAGAAGTAAATCAAATTACATAAAAGTAAAGTGTTGTAATGTGTTACCTAAAAATCAACTTATAAAGTTAAATTGGTCTGTTTACACTGCACATTTGCAGTGTTTCAGGCTTTTGGACTATTCATTTTGTCAATAATCAAACTTCAAGTATAACTAATCCCAATTCAAACCAAAATTTGTATCATATTATTTTCTCTCCAGGTGTGATAGACGAATTCACTGTAAATATATGACAGATTATATTATTCTATAAGGGATGGACAAATTCACTGTAAATATATAACAGATTATATTATTCTAGATGGGATGGACAAATTCATTGTAAATATATGACAGATTATTTTATTCTAGATGGGATGGACAAATTCACTGTAAATATATGACAGATTATATTATTCTAGATGGGATGGAAAAACTCACTGTAAATATAAAACATATTTACTGTATATATATGACAAATTAACTGTAAATACAGAGTGTGTCATGAAACAACTGAAATAAAGAGCTTTCGAAAGACACCTTCATAGTAAAAATTGAACGAAAATTGTTTCCTCAGTTACTAATACCCTTACTGCACAGTTTTATTCGAGACACCCTGTATATGATAAATTTACTGTATAGCTATTACAGATTATTCTCTTCTAGATGTGATGGACAGATTCACTGTAAATATCTGACAGATTATTCTATTTCTAGATGTGATGGACAGATTCACTGTAAATATGACATATTATTCTATTTCTAGATGTGATGGACAGATTCACTGTAAAGATATGACATATTATTCTATTTCTAGATGTGATGGACAAATTCACTGTAAAGATATGACATATTATTCTATTTTTAGATGTGATGGACAGATTCACTGTAAAGATATGACAGATGAAATTGGTTGCGACGCTTTCAATTTCTGTCTAAGCTCGGTAAGTATAAATATTGTCATAAAAATAAAGTAACAATCTTTGTTTGTCTGTCTTGGTGTCTGTCTGTTTGTTTGGATCTCTGGTTATAACTTTATAGAAACCCTAGACTGTTAATCTCAAATTTTGATCGGTTACATAAAGGGATTAGAATTGATTTGAAATCTCAAGACGCCCCTCCCCTCATATAGTATATCCACCCTTCCAATTTAGGTTAGAAATAATATCAATTGATTAGAATTGATTTGAAATCTCAAGGCCAGTGGTTCTTGTTATGACTTTACCCCATGCATATATACAATCTATATAAGTAGTACTCATTAAGGAAACAAATATGACATTCACAACATTTTCATCTATCTATCTCATGGAGGTGATGAAATTGGATAGAAACAGTGACTTTTATTTATATTACAAAAGAAACAAAATAAAATAATGTTTTATTATTTAAAGGAGTGGATGTGTGTTGATAAGAGAAGATGTATATCAAGTTCTAGACGCTGTGATGGTTTTCCTGACTGTGGAGATGTTTCAGATGAACAAGGTTGTCCTCCACAAACCTGTAATACCAAGGTGAGCGAGGGAGGGAAACCGGTTCGCCATGAGCCTAAGCTATGCAGACACAAGCCTCCCAGATTTGCTATGCAATGCCAGCCTCCACATTGCAGTATAGAGCCTTCGCTGTGCATTAAGAGCCTCCGATATACAGCATAGCATAGCACAAAATGGCGGGCAAGCCTTCCCTCCCATGGTGAGCATGGGTTTAAATTTTTCAGAATGATTTGTAAGGAAAAATGAAAAATTTCATTTAATGCTTTTTACCTAAAATTTATTAATCTTCCTCAAAAATCAGTTATTTTCCTCAATTCAGAAAATGAACCCTAAAAAAATGTTGTGCTCTGTATACAAATTTATAACTTCAAAGGGGGGGGGGAAGAAAAAGGGTTTTTAAAGAAAATTTACATCCCTGAAGCAACCTGTATTGAAGGGTTTTTAAATTTTTACCAGTTTATTTAGCTTAAACTTTAAGGTTTTTTAAGTAACACTCTATTTATAGAGTTGCATATTGGTTTCACAAAGGTTACTTTAATCTTTGTCTAGCTGAAGTGCCCATCATTTCCCGTTTAATCAAAAAAAAATGTAACATTTTTTTAGCTTATAACACCCACAGGTTCCCTTGCAAAAAAATACATCCAATTTAGTCCAGATGTTCGGCCAGCCATAGCAAACATATAAATATATTTGTACATATGAGCAAAAAGCTTTATTGTATAAATAAGTAAGATATCAATATTTAATTTCTAGCAAAATATTTATAATTTTCATTTAAAATTTCTAGATAGAGAAAAGGACTACCTTGATTTTATTTAAATAAATAGAGATTGAAAGAGTGCTGTTGTGAATCGGATATGATACCGGAGGATTACTTAAAATTACGTCGATATATAGTAGGGTTTCCAGCAAAAATGAAAAACATTTTTTTTCGCGATCATTTCGCTTCATTTTTGCATTTTGTTTCCTCGCAAAAAACGCGAAAATGTTCTTTTGAGCAATTAATTGGTGCAGCTATAAAACTATGGTTTTCACAAAATTTTCGCATTTCGCTGAAATATTTGCGCAAAATTTTTTTGGCGAAATTTTGCTTCATTTCCGCCTCATTTATTTTCCCGAAAAAATGCAAAATTTCGCGAAAAAGTTTGCGAAATGCGGCCAAAAATTTTCGCATTTTTTCGCGAAACTTTTCGTTCGCTGGAAACCCTAGTCCATAGTCCCTTGAAATCCTAAATAGATTTTACACAAAACTGCTAAAGCAAGTTAAAATATTATAAAGAATTTGTTTCAGTGGCTTTTCCCATGTTCAAACAGCAGTCAATGTATTGATTCGAGAAGACGGTGTGACGGATATACTGATTGCCAGGATAGGTTAGTACTAAATATATGATACCAGAAGGCAGGGGGATAGATAGCAATTGCAAGAATAGATATTGTACTCAATATATGATTCTCTAAGGCAGTGGGATAAATATACCGATTGCAAGAATAATTTATGTACTTAATATATGATTCTAGAAGGCAGTGGGATAAATATACCAATTGCAAGAATAGGTTATGTACTTAATATATGATTCTAGAAAGTAGTGGGATAGATAGCAATTGCAAGAATAGGTTATGTACTCAATATATGATTCTAGAAAGTAGTGGGATAAATATACCGATTGCAAGAATAGGTTATGTACTCAATATATGATTCTAGAAAGTAGTGGGATAAATATACCAATTGCAAGAATAGGTTATGTACTCAATATATGATTCTAGATAGTAGTGGGATAAATATACCGATTGCAAGAATAGGTAATGTGCTTAATATATGATTCTAGAAGGCAGTGGGATAGATAGCAATTGCAAGAATAGGTTATGTACTCAATATATGATTCTAGAAGGCAGTGGGATAGATAGCAATTGCAAGAATGGGTTAGTACTCAATATATGATTCTAGAAGGCAGTGGGATAGATATAGCGATTGCCAGGATAGGTTAGTACTCAATATATGATTCTAGAAGGCAGTGGGATAGATAGCAATTGCAAGAATAGGTTAGTACTCAATATATGATGCTATACGGCAGAATGATAGATATAGCGATTGCCAAAATAGGTTATTGAATTAAAGTAAACTTGACGTTAGATGGAATTTTTTATAATTGTTACTTTTTTTGGAAAGAAGAAGAAAAAACTTGAGTTTTTTTCATAATTGGACTTAAAATTAAAACTAATTGAACTCCCACTGCCCTATGCAGAGCTACATATACATTATTAAATTCAGTAAAGTCACAAAGCTAGTCCTATCTTAGTGAGATTAAAATATCTATTTACAGGTCAGATGAACGCGGATGTAGAGAATTGCAGTGTCAAGAATGGCAATTTAAATGCAAACAAGGTTTCCATTAATTAATCAAATACAAGGTTTTTTTAAAGTATCAGGGCTGGGGGGCAGGGTCAGTTTAGAACACCCTTATTTCATATTATGCTAAGTATGTATAGGATAATAGGCAGAACGCTTAAGATAACGAACGAAAATAATATTTCAGTACAACATAAGTTGAAAACAATCTTTTACTTGATTGGTGTATCAGTTATGTTGTTTTGACTAACAGTTAAAGATTGTATTGAAAAAAGTGAAAACGTTCAATTTTGCAAATATTTTCTTGTTGTTTTCTCAAACTTTCGCGCAAAAATAATTGCCAAAATTTCACGCAAATTTCATATATGTGTGTTGATTCGCAACATATTTTGCACGAAAATCCGAAAAAATTAACATTTTCTGCTTATTGGATTTTATTCTGTGCATTTTTTTTTGCCTATTTTTTCTATGTATTTGTCCATTTAAAGAGGTGTTAATTCTAACACTAATAACTTTCTTAGTCTGTATTTTTACATTATAACAGGGTGTAAAATTTGACAAAGATTCAACAAAAATACAGTGATAACCAGAAAACTCTGGAATAGTATAATGACTTTGAGAATCAAGTTTTAACTTTAAAAAGTTCAATAACCATGAAACACAGCAATTGTGCAGTGTAAACAGACCCATTTCACAAAATAGTAATTTTTCAATTGTCTGGTAAAACTGTTTGCTTTCTAACAACCTCAAATATACTTAAGTATTGCTATAATGTCGTCTTCATTTTCCATTGTTTTCTGGTTATCACTGTACAGTGATTGAAATCATTAAAAAAATTTCCCTTGTTATCACTTTTATTTCAATAATGAGAATAACTTTTAATAAACTGGTCCACCCGGTAAATCAATAAATCCTATGTTCTTACATCCTAGAAAACCAAGGAATACATTGAAAGGATTTTTTTTTACAAGAACTTTTTTCAAAAGATATTTCATCAAAATTTACATTTCTTTTATATTGAAAAGAAATTTTTCATTCTTTATTCTTTACCATTTCAGTAAATTTGTAAATTTGTTTTTAGTCTCAATACAATTCTTCCTATTTTCTATTTCTTGGTCGACTTGTATGGTCAAATAAAAAATGAGATAATTGTGCGATGTCTGCGCAACTCTAATTAACTTGTAATTAAAAACGTCGATTATATCCTTTACATTCGAACAAATTCTTATTTTTTTCGAAAAAATATAAAAAGGAAATGCATCTTAATTGAAAAATCAATCAGTTATTCATTTTGAAAATTTTAAAGTGGAAATTTTTGCTCCAATCAAAACAACTAAAAATACTTATTCGACACCCCTAGCATATTATTTGTAGGTATACCCCAAATGAAAAGTTTTCTTTAAAGGGACCGTTCACTTATTTGGGTAATTTGAGGGTAAGCTAATTTAACTTTTCTCAAACAACTGTGGCAGGAGAAAAAGCCAATTTAATATTTAGAATTCCAGCGCAAACGTATGATAACTTTGCATTTACACTATTTGATGCTTTTGTCATAGTCATTCATACGTGCTTGATTGATCCCTCAATTTTAATAATTCCTGTAGGGTAAAATATCCAAGGGAGGAACACTTTTAACTCATTTCATTCCAGATCAATCCTTTTTATAATGAGAGATAATAACTTAATATACATAATTTCGCAATGATGATACTCAGAGGAGACTGAATTTTGATGATCGATTTTTTAGGTTTTTAAATTATAATCAAATTTTTCTTTCAGATACTTACCCTGTACTCCCTTTTAAGTCTTGAATAAATTTAAATTTTGTTGAATTCCATGGTTGAGGACTGAATAGTGAATAGTGATGAAAGATGAAAGATTTTATATTCTTTAAAACTTTTATTAAATTCATGGATAGAGTACTTTTCTATTTTATTGAAAATATTTAACATTTTTATTTTCATTTACAGTTTATAGACATTTCTATTATTTTTCGTCTTTAAATTGTCATGTAAAGTGGGTCAAACTCCTGCAGAGCTCTGCTATCCTAGGCTGCTAGAAATCTCTCTGCACTTTTTGCAGTAGACACTGAGAAAGATGTCTGCACATATGGAGGGAGGGAAGGCTAAGCGGCCCTGAACCCCATGCTTAATAAGCTAGCCTTCTTTTTAACTACAGTACCCACAGCCGGGTCAAAAAATACGAATAACAAAGAGCTAATTTGTCTAATACTAATCTGGTTTTTTTCCACTCCAGAAAAAGAAAAATTGCAGACATGCAGATGGATAAAGGAGAAAAAAGATGAACATTTGAAATTATTAACTATTCCTTGTACCATTTAATTAAACAAAACTTTTAAAAAAAACATTGTTAAAAAATTTCCAAAAAGTTGAGATAGAGTAGAATTTCATCTATTGATGTTTAGAAAGTTTATCATGGGTCACCCAGTACAATTTCCATTGCACAGGGTGACCCGCAGAGACGACTTTACGAAAATTTTTCTTTTATTCATAATTTCCTGAACCAGTTTCTTTCTTTGCTGAATCACATGATAAGCTATTAAAATACTATATTCAAAGCCTCAGAATTAATTTATCGTACTTAAAGAATTACGTCATTACATTACATTATATGTGGTTAACCTTGTACATTGTATTCACCATTGACATATTCATATTTTTTGGATAAAGAATTATAATGCAGAGATGGTAAAAAAGTATAAAAGTCAAACTTATAACAAAGAAATAGAGATAAGATGTCAAGGGGGGAGGGACTTCTGCCATCCTTTTTGTTTTAGTCAAATAGACAAAGAGTATTGTCAGTAAAATTTTAAATAAAAAAATGATTAATTCATAAAAATTCAAAGATGGCGTCTGTTTACATGAAGCGCTCCGCTGTGACAGTGTACAGGATTGCAGGGACGGATCGGACGAAGACGATTGCTTTTCAGGCAGAATTGATTTATTGATTGATTGATTGGTTAATTTAAGATTTAATTGGATCAAANTGAAATTTAAAGATCCTGCAAGCACAGTGTTCCCGTATACCACTATACCCCCTAGCACAATAAACCCTCAAGGAACCAGATTTAATGAATACAGAGAATTAGTTAATCTCTCTTTATTTAAACGTAATTTAGTCTGAGCTGAAAACTTGAGAATGGGATATGCTTAATCCCGATCACTTAATCTGAGTATCCATGGTACACACTTTTTGGGTACCCTGCTGCTGTAAAAATGTTACGGTTGATAAAAATTTCAAAGATCGATTGGACTAATTTCCGATTGAGCTAAAGTCAGCTGTTTACAAGCCGCTTTTAGACCCTACTAATCCGAAAACCTAAACATACTTAAACCACTATGTTTATGTATTTCCAGATATATTTGCGTTAAGATTCGTATGCTCAATTTTTTGGTAAAGAACTTACATATATTTTCGTATTCTTGCATATTTATCATACCATGCGCTTTTTAAGTGCTTAGGTTTTCCAGATACGCATTTTTACGAATAATTACGTTTACTTTGTACCAAGTAATTTTACTAAGTTTTTGGTTTTTATTTTAAGTAGTTTTTTGGTTCTTTCTTTACTTTAAAAAATCGGGTTTCTTTAGAGTTTAAAAGTTTGATTTCATTTCAAGTTTCCAATTTTTACGTATTTTTCATTAACTTCTTAACATTTCGGTTTTAGAACTTGAATATGCCTTAAAAATACGAATTTTTATGTATATGGTAAACCTTATAATTTTCAAAAATTAAGAAATGTTAGTTTTTCAAACATGAATCTTCATTTAGGAAAAACCAAAAATTCCTGATTCGTTGGATTATCAAGGTTTTTGCATAAGCATTTTTAAGTTTGTCATATACATATTTTTACTGATATAAAATACGTATTTTTCCCAAGGAAATGGTTGCGAAAATACCCAATTCATACACATGGAAAATACATATTTTTACATATTCCAAACCTAAAAATATGTACAAAGATGTATGTCATACGTATATTTAGGTATTCCGGTTAGTAGGGGAGCATTATAAATGTAATCATTTAATATGAACTTATTTAAAAGCATATTTTTTTAACAATTGAGGACTAGAGTCATTTTGAGCATTAGTCTGAATAAACATAAATTCAAAACTTTCGTATGTTAAATCGATCATTAGTTCAATTGATATGACAAATGCGGAAAAATTAAAAACCGGTTTTTCAAAAGTTAAAGAGCGCATCTCTAATCTCTAGAAATTAATCTAAAGACTAAATTAGTCTTGAGATTAGCAAAAAAAGATGATCAAGCATTGATCTCGATATCCACCATTCTAAAGTTTTTAGGTCTGAGCTGCTTTTGTTAATCTGCAGATAAATATAATCTTTATTCGATATCCCGCATGGTAATCGTACTCTTGAGGAATAACAGAAATTAAGAGATTAAGCATTGATCCCAAAATTAAAAGTGTCCTCTGTAGATATCAAGATCAAGAGATCGAGATTTTGTGTAGCCAACACTCTGGGTACACAGTTCAAACTACTTCTAACTATTAATCTACTTCTCACATAGATTCAACCTCCCTTTCAAAAGTCTCATCATTTTTTAAGACAAGGTCGATTTTAAAGTGCCGCAACGCCTTGGGCTTTGATTTTACCGCTCTAACTCACAAATGTTTTTCTATAGTCCTTTAAATTAGTTTTTAAGAAGTAATTGGCAAAATTTTCATTGATTTTTGCTTGAAAGCTTGAGACCTTTTAATCTGGTATTATAGGATTAGAAACTGAATCTGTAGACGAATATATAGATGAGGGTTCTAGTATTTATACAACAGAAATATATTATCAAATTACAACAGGTAAAAAACAGGGGGCAAGAACCCCCAATATCCCCACCCCAGTGGGCACTATCCCCCCAACCCCTTCACTTAAAATACTAAGATTAAAATCCTTAGAGGATTCAATTTATTTAATTTTGTTCGTTAAATATTATTAATAACGTCGTGTATTTTTACAATTCTTTCCAAAAAGAAACTTTATTTTTGTTGTTGGAAAAGTTTTAAGAAAAGTTTGGAAACGAAATAATATTTATCATCTAAGCTCAAAGGAAAAAAAAGAAATAAACATTCTCAAATTTACACTTCTATATAACAATATACAACTTCAGTTGTATAATATACAATTTATACAGTTATGTATGTACTAAACAATGTAAATATGTACACAATGTACATTGTATTGTACAATGTGACACTCTTTGTAATGGTGATACAGTGTTAGATACGTAAAATTAAAACATATCGGGATGTAAAGGATGTAAACAACCGACCACCCTATTAATTTTGCGACAGGGTGGTCGGTTGTGTACATCTGAGGGGATNTATATATGTATATATATATATATATTCAAGGTATGAAATATATTTCCCCCCGAATTATAAAAACATGTTTCAAAACATGAGTTTCACTTCAGCAAAATATTAGAATTTGGAAACATGGGCGGTGGGAGTAACCTAGACCTATAATAATCGTAACATTGGCGAAGGCGGGCTTCTCAGCTAGTAGTCTACATATATCCTGAAATATCCCTAAAGAAGCTACTACAAGATATGATAGCTCTATAACCTATACCATAAACTAGCTCTAAAGAAGCTACGAGGTCTCAAAGTCGTGCCAGACACTATTTGCACATTAAACATTTTTTAAAGCATATTTATTTCTTTAAATTCTGATCTTAAGAAAATTCTTAAAATAATTAGATAATTGCAAATATTTTGACATTTCTGTTTTTCTAGATCTTCATTTTCGTCTTGTTGTCCGCGCATCATCCATCATCTTTTTGTGTGATGCCCTTGCAGTTTGCGTACCAAACTATTCCTTTAAGATGTGACGGATCTATTGACTGTACTGATGAGTCTGATGAGAATGGTTGCCTTGATGTTGAATGCAGATCCTGGCAGTTTAAATGCAAATCAACAGGAATATGCATTCATAGAGGTAACAGGATAGGGATAAACAAGGTTTTTACCTAAGGTTCGTTACTCTAGATTAGGGTTTCCAACGAAAAAAAAATATTTCACCGAAAATTTGCATTTCGTTCGCTCGAGAATTTTTTTACTTTTTTAGCGAAATTTCGCTTTAATAAAATAAAGCAAAAATTTCACAAAAAAAATGAAATTATGCGAATAAAGCAGGAAAATTTCGCGAAAAAATACCGTTCATTTAAAAGAATCTTTCTTGTCATTGACTGGATCATGGCCTAGCTGGATTTGGGTGAACGTACATGGATGAAAAGAAAGTCAGAAAGATAGCTAGAGAAATCAAATTCTCTTCATCAAATATTTATTAAAGTAAAAGAAAAGAAATTGTTAATATGAAGCGAAGCGTTTAGTTCGCTGGAAACCCTACTCTCCATGCGCTCGCTTCGTCACACTAAACTAAGTGTTTGACCGAAAATAAGTAGATTTTAAAGGAGAGTGGATGATTCATTTGTGTACTTTCCCGTTTTGCCATCTAAATTCCGTACTTATAGTGTGTTTTTTTGCTCTATCAAGTCTATAAGTCGGTACGGTACTTCCAATGAGCCAGAGCTTTCAATTTATTTTACTTAATAATTTTCACATATTCGTGACTGATTTATACCCTTGAACATTCTAATTTAACAACTAAAAGTGAAATAATTATATGGAGTATAGACGTAATTTCAAGAAATTCTGTTCAACCCCCCCCCCATATCCCCCTACTTGCGACATAGACTTCGTTTAATAGACAAAGGTTTGAAGAGTACCGATGTAAATTGGACATACTTCTAAAGAGGAAGGTCACTTAAAATTAAACACACAGTCCCTTTAAAGGTAAAACTGTTGTGAGCCTAGAAACTATGCCCGTGTCTAGATTTGATGATGATTAAAGTTTGCTTGAGTATATACCCCTTCGAGCACTTCTCAGTAATGGTATCCCCAACGGGAAACATAGTTGATGTTTGTGCAGGGCGGTCCATATCATATTGGATCGTGGATAGCTCATAAAAGAATTGTTTTGGATAAAATGTGAATTTTTACAGGATGTCTCTCTTTCTACGCACCATATAGATATATTCATAGAGTTTTATAAACATTGTCGCTACTCTGTCGGTTTTTTTTTGTACACTAAAAAGTAATTCGCGGATTTTTGCAAATATTTTTGCAGATTTCCTTTAAATCTCAGCTCAGCTACTTACTTCTAATTATCCCTGCTAGGTCTGCAATGTAATGGAGAAGTTGATTGTCTGGATTCGACAGATGAAAATAATTGCGAAGCTGAACAAAACTTTAGGATTTGTGTCAATATACGTTCTTCATTTTTTAATTTTCGACAGGATTTTTTTGGGTAAGATAGATAAAAAAGAATTATGAGCAGATAGTGATAACATTGACAACAGCAGTGAAACAACTGAGAGTCCAATTGATAAAGAACTGGATCAAAATGATATCTTTGGATTTGAAAATGATAAAAAGTGCAAGAGAAACTGCCCAAGGTAAATCTGTTTCATCTAAAAGTAAATAAAAACAATTGCATCCAATTTTCCTCTGCACACTGTATTTATACCGGCCAAAACCAGACTCATACGTATCTATCATTTTTATTTCTGGTTTATTTCTCTATAACTAAGTTCAGCTTATATTTACATACAGCACACATTTTACTGCTTAAAGTACGATGGGTAAAATTTTAAAAAAGGAGGAAATGGTTCTGTTGTTCTGTTGTAAGGTAGTAGTAGGGTCATTTGAAAGTACGTTCACTATATACTTTTTAAATCAAAATCAGAGATGATACTTATGAGGAAGTCCAGCTTTGGTTAGTGGAAATACAGTGCACCAAGGGTAATAAATTGTAATATTATTACCACTAGGCTTTTAGGGCGCTTCGCGCCCATCTTCTATTTCAACTTTTTATTGTGGCTTTATCTCTGAACATCTTCTCTTTGTACAGTATAAAACAAAAACAAAAAAACTTTGCGGATTTCATAATATTTTTTTGCGCATTTTCAAAATTTTTCTTTTTGAAATGTAAACAAATAGAACTTGTTCACAATTTAAATAGAAGATGGGCGCGAAGCGCCCTAAAAGCCTAGTTATATATAAATTTGACTTGTCTGTCTGTTTGTTTGTATCCAATAAACGTCAAAACGGCTGAACCGATCGGGCCCAAATTTGTTGTGGGACATAACGTGACTCCCGGTAAGGTTTATGAATGATAAAAATTTTAAAAATGTGTGTTTAAAAGTTTTTTATTTTTGTAAACATTTTTAAAATCTTAAAATACGCAAACTTTTTTTTGAAAATTCGCGAAAAATTTTTAAGAGAACATGTTTGTTTGTTTGTATCCAATAAACGTCAAAACGGCTGAACCGATCAAGCCCAAATTTTGTGTGGGACAGGGAAGGTTTATGGTCAATCAGACTTTAAATATACGTATTCTTAAAATATTTTTAGCTTAAACTATTTAATTTTTTAAAATTTTAAAATTGCGCGAAAAATATTATGAAATCAGCAAAGGAATTGAGTTTTTGCCACAAACTCTAATTTTCTAACCCCTCTATCTTTGCGACCCGATGTCGTATATCTTAGATATTTCAAACTATGAACTCTGTTTGATCAAATAGTCGTAGTTTGAAATATCAAAGGTTTACACCATCGGGTTGCAAAGATTTAGGTATTAGAAAATTTGAATTTGTGACTAAAACTCAATTCCTTTAAACAAATTTTATACTGTGCAAAGAGGAGTCGCTCAAAGATAAAGCCACAGTTAAATGTTGAAAAAGAAGATGGGCGCGAAGCGCCCTAAAAGCCGAATTATTTAAATTTGTCTCCAATCTCCATGTTACTTTTTGCCTTATGATGGCTCATTGGAAACATTAATCTAAGAAAAGAAGGAAAAAGATTATGCTTTTCACAAAAAGTAATAAATTTTTCGTTTTTTTGAAGAAATTTTTTTTCTTTTACACGTAATATTGTTAACAAAAATTAGATTTTATGCCGCCAATTTATTCCCCTTTTTTCCTTCTTTCTTTCATTTTTCTTTTCCTTCTATTCATTTTTTTTCTTTTCTTCTGTTTTGTCTTAGAAAGTGTGCCCACCCCCTTCAGGGGTAAAAGAGGGAGCACGTGCCCCTGTGCCCTCCCCTTGTTTTGGGCCTGGATATAACGACAGCATGGTTCCTCCACAAAAGGATGGTAAATACTTCAAATAATGTTCCAATCATTCAGAATGTACCTGCCCGTGTGTGGATCAGACGAGGTGACCTACAGTAACAAATGTCTGTTAGACCTTGCTTCCTGTTTAAACAATGTTGAACTGACCGTCAACTATTACGGCGAATGTATTGACAGGTCAGTAGTACATAGATTCAGCTAGCTTGTTATCAAATTTTGCATTCATTTTCAAGACAGGGTCGACTTTGAAGTGTCTCAAAGCCTTGTGCTTAGTTTTTACGGCTTTAAAGGGAGTGTTCGCGAAATATAAAAGGGGTTATAGTCTTACGGCGAAAAATAATCGCTTTTATCGCTTCTAATCATACTCCTCTGTTGCGTCTATAAGGATACAATTGTTAAAAACGACGTATACTGAAGAACGTGGCGTCCATATACAAATTCAGAAAGTTGCACCATTTCATTTTTCGCAAACACTCCCTTTAAATCGCTAATGTTTTTATGTAGATCTTTAAATGTATCTTTTAAATCAATATATAAAGGTAGATTTATTCTAAATAAGTGAATTCAAATAGTACTTCTAAATTAAGTACTCCTAAATTAAGTAGAAATGAGAAGTTTATTGTTGACATATAATTACATATTATTCGTTGTCTCTGCATGAATCTAAAAGTCATTTTAAAAAAACCTCGCTTGAAAATTGCCGATTTCCAATTCGAAAACCAGGAATGTCTCCATCAAGCGGTGGCAAAGGGAAGGGTGACTTGTAATTACATACAAACAGTACCTTGAAGGGATTAAAGACGTAATTTCAAGTAACCCTCCATGTGAAGATGGCAATGTCTGATTTACAACGGTACCTTAAAAGATTTTTTCTGATTAAGTATGAATTAATTTAGATATCCAAATTTTTGTTTCTTAACACTGTTAATATTCATTTGCGGTTTCTCTGCAAAAGTGACTTGTGCATTTCTTGCTTTTAAGAATTTATCATAAGGAAACACCTTTTGATCAAATGAAGGTTTCAAGGTTTCTGTTGTGAATCGGGACATGCCATCTTTGCATGGATGGTCACAATTGAAATTACGCTTACAGTCCCTTTAAATCTTCTGCCTAGGATGGATGACTGCCCACAGTGTTCTGATTATTATGAACCAGTTTGTGGTTCAAATAATATTAATTATAATAATACATGCTTTCTCAGCCATTACAACTGTATTTCAAAGTCAAGCATTTCTATAAAAAATACAGGTAAATGCGCGCAAACTAAAATATAAACAAATTATATATTTTTAAAATTAATACAAAGTGTGATGAAAATTTTAGATTGGAATTAATGTTTATATATTTTATCACAGTTTATTTTAAGTGATTTTTTTAACGTTCTTTTAAGTGCATGGGGAGAACTTAAAATTCTGAAGCCCTTTGTGACTTTTAACAAAAAAAATCAATCAAATTTATAAAAATGATTTACATCTCTAATTTTTTTCAGGTCTTTGTAAAGTTGAAAAAGTGGAAACTGATGAAATCTGTTCTTTATTCTGCACAAGGGTATTTTGTTACTGTAATCTACAGGGTTACCTAAAAAGACGAGACTTTAGAGACTACTGTACGGAAATATTTCGTCTTATTTCTTTCATTCATGGGCCCCCGCATTTTTGCACTTCCATATTTCTTTTCCGGATTATGTTATAGACCTTAAAAGACGGTCGAAAATATGGGGTTTCCAATTTAAATCTCCGGGTCTAGCTCCAACGAGAATTTGGGGTTCCCCATCGAGACGTTCATGGGGGTCTTCAATGAATTGGGGTCTCCAATAGTACTCCAATGGGGATGATTTCTTCCTAGACTCTTAGTATTCAATTATTCAATAATGAGAAAACTGAAAAATTGCGGATATCCATGAATCAGGAGATTAAGCAGATTCTGCGTAACATCTCATTTCAAATCGTTAATACCACACTTTGATTTAGGTTTCACTTCGACCTGGACAATTCATTAACAATAAATAATAATGTTATTAAGCTGAACAAAGGTTTATAAAAATAGAAATAAGTTATTTATAGTCTCTGACTCTTGCCTCTTCACCATTATAGTATTTTCTAAAAAGCAATATATCTAAAAACATTTTCTTTCCTGGTCAAATATCGACTTCTTAAGTGACTTCTTTGTACTTTTTACCTTTTAAAGACGTGGGGGGAGGTTTACTTTATTTAATTACATTTTCTTATTCTGAGCTAGAAATAAAACTTCAAAAATTAATTACATTCTGAAATTAATCTTTAAATGTGAACATTGAGCTAGTTTGGCTTTAACATTTTTGATGAGTTGTAAAATGCTAAATATTAGTTAATATTTCTTTAATCCTTTAAAAAGTCTGTTACTTGATATTACCTTTACTTATATTTAAGGGTAAACAAAACTCTAGTTACATTATTATGCATAGCTTTATGTTATTTTGTATTAAGGACTATAACCCTGTCTGCGGAACGGATGGAGTAACGTATGAAAATGCTTGCTCCTTGAACAGAGAAGCTTGCCTTACCGACCAGAACATTACAGTACTGTACAACAAGGGGTGTCAAGAAGGTCAAGAAGATCAAGACGGTCAAGAGGCGCCAAAGTGTACACTTGCGTGTACAAAGGTAGGTGTAAGCCACACATTAAAACATTTAATTCATTTAATCTTATACTTAAATAGGGCGGGGCACTTTCCAACTTTTTCTAGCAATTTCGTTCACGGTTAGTTCCCACCGTAAAAAGAGAGAAAAATTTAGGTAGCCGTTAGTTTTAAAGGTAAGAACAGAACGTTTTTTCACTTAACGGTATTTTCCGTTTTTTAAAGTTACCGTTAGTTAACGATCTCAATGTTATCAATGGTTTTAACAGAAAATATTCTGTTAACGTTTTTTTTTTCAATTAATAGCATTAGCCGTTTAGAAATTGCGCGACAAATTTGTTTTAACGGTTTGTTAAAGGTTGCAATTGTAGTAAAAATTCCAAAATTTCCATTAAAAAATCGTTGACAGTTTATGAAATTGGATTTACGGCAAAAACTAAATTGCAAAAAAATCTTTGAAAGTTCCATCATATAAATAGACTGAAGGCGACATTTAAAAACATCAAAATATGTATACAATTTTTGCTGTTGTTGTAAGTTCCATGCAATTTTAGCGGGAAAAAGTTACCATTTTTTAGAACCCATCCGTTACATTTTTGTTTTCAAACGTAAATTTTTTTTTCAAAAACGACTAATCCGTTTTGTTAACGATTTTAAATTAGCGGTTTTTGTCGTTTGTTAACGAACTCTTCCGTTAATTTTCAAAAACCTCTGATTCGCTAACGAAACTTTGCTTAACCCTACTTAAAGGGACTGTAAGGGTGATTTTAAGTGACCTTCCATGTATAGAGCGGCATCACAATGGTGTACCCTTTAAACTTTTTTTGCAAACAGAAGGGGTAAAAAAATATTTTGACTGCTGGAAAGTGGAAACACAGTTTATCATTAGAAAGACGTTATTTTCAAGTGATGCTATAAAGTAATGGAACAGCTTTGTTGTGGTCAAACTGTACAGTGTACACAGCGTACACCAGGTTTCATAAGGATTCATTCAACAGCTATTAAACACATTTAAACTTAAAGCTATCTCTTCTCGATGAACAGTCAAAGGTTTAAAGGGTGCCGTTTTGAATCAGGCATTGCATTATTTGCACGGAGGGTCACTTAAAATTATGCGTACAGTCCCTTTAAACAATATTAAACAATTAAAACTTAAAAAATATCTAGATCTATCTTCCTCTGTGTGGATCTGATGGGGTGACATACAGTAATGAATGTATCATGCAGAAATCTGCATGTACAGAGGATAGGAAGATAGATGTTGTACACTCTGGACCATGTATTGGAGATGAGGAAACCAACTCTACGCGGTGCAACAGAGCGTGTCCAAAGGTAGAATTTTGGCAACGCGGTGTATCAGAACATGACCAAAATTAGAACAATAGCAAACTCTACGCGGATAAACAGAACATGTACAAAAGTACAATCTTAGCATTCACTATGCGGTGTAACAGAAAATGAACTATAAAGTAGAACTCTAGCAAACTTTACGTGGTGAAACAGAACGTGAACAAAGTAGAACTTCGGCAAACTCTATGCAGTGTAACAGAACATGATCAGAAGCAAAGAATTATTATGTAAAGATAGTTATTTCAGAGGTTAACTCATTTTTTGTACTGGAGTGTACTGTCTCTGGGCCGTAAAGTAAACAAATGACGGATGTCACAGCCTAACATGGGATCCATCTTTCACATTAAAAATACATAAAATATTCTGGTCATAGGAAACTATTATTTGAATTATCAAAATTATCAAAACTAAATGCTTTTCTCCTCCTCGGATACTATAAGAACACTGATGCATCTATTTTTGTTTACAAATACCGCCCAGAGATAACTGGTTTCAATATGTACGCAGAGAATACGCAACCGCAATTAACTTTCCTTGCCTTATTACCTTGATCACTTAAGAAGAACGTTAATTAACTCTTCTTGGTGCAACAGTATATGTACAATTAAAAATTGAACTTTGGCGTACTCTACGCCGTACAACAGAACATGTACAAATGTAAAGCGAGAGTTTGGTTACTACTCGCAAGGTTATGACAAATTAAATTGTATATTGCTGAAAAGAGAGCAATTCGAAAATATTCAGAAAAGGATAAGCTCAACAAATCAGCTTTAAAAAATAAGTAAAAGATTGAAACAAGTTTTTCGTGCTTGAAGGTACACGCAGAATTGATCAATGCCAATTCTTGGGAATCTTTATTAGATATATTGGGGTTGATTCAGGTTAGAATTATTTCTTTTTCACAAATGCGCAAAATTTTAAATAAACCACTAAGGGGGAACAATGTTTTAAGTTTATACGAAACACTTGGGTTCTTATACAATTTACCCCTAAACATTAAATCGAAAGAATTTATGAAATGTCCTCTTGGCAATTTTTCAATGGGTTTTATACTATTTTACGTAAATCTCAGTATTTACGAAAATGAATAAATAGCCAATGAATATGCGGGAACAGTTTTAAAGAGCTCCATATAATCATTTAATTAAAAAACTAAATACCTGCAACATTCCATTATCAGAAAGTGAAGAATACGACATTTGATAAATTCTTTCGATGTATTTAGGGTTTAACTGTATGATTTTTATGAAATGCAGATATTATTATTAGCGATTAAGAACGAATTTCCAAAGAAATTTTTCGACTGAATGTTTAAAAATTGGCACGTAAATTTACTTGTTACAACATTTTTTGGAGTGATTGCATAAACAGGAAAGGAGGAAGAGTGGAGGAATTAAGGAAAATTATTGCCCAAGTACTAAAAATCTACATTTTGAAATTTTGTTAACGAATATCAGAAATATTATAAATACCTAGTAAGTGTAATAAACCATCTTTTTTAGTTAAATAATCAATATGAACTTATGAAGTATATTTTAGAACATATTGGTAATTACCCAGAGAATGTATATATTTGCATACTTTCGGATATTTTGAAATAATGTCAAAAAAAAATTTCAATCGGATTTCCGAAATTTCTAGAAAATCGAAATTAAAAAAGGAATAAAATTTTGATAAGTATCAGTTTTACGTAAATCACATTTTTGGTTTATTTTTTTTTGGCTCACCCTGTGGAAATTTAGATTTTTGTGGTTTTACAAAGTTTGAATTGTGTCTGAAAAACATGTCATCTATTCATCTTTTGTTGTTGGATAACTAATTTCCTTCTCCTGAATTCCTCTTCGGTCAAAAAAAAGAAGCATATTCTTTGTTCATTATTTTTAGAAAAACTGAGGAGTCTGATCCATTTGCCATGTTATTTGAGAAATCAAACAATATACTTTGTCCTACCAGGTAAAATTTAACTTTTTTGTAAAAAAAAAACATATTTATAGAAACAGTGTTTTGAACTTTTGAATGCACGGCACTAATTTTAATCAATTTAAATGTGATTAATTTATTTAAATCGATCTATCCCTGGAAAAAAAATGTGCACTTTTTTATGAAAGAGAGATTAGTTAACTCCATGAGAATGATTTAATCGTTTCAAAATCGATTAAGTCAGCATTGGCTCCATAACTTAAAAAGTTCTTGGCTTAGAANTATAGTACAGGAATGAGTGTATGGTACAGGAACAGTTGTATAGTACAGGAATGAGTGTATGGTACACCCCCCCTTATAAATGTTTGGGGAGGGGCAAAAAAAGTTTTTGCGCTACGCACGAGATAATTGACCTATTGCCCCCCACCCCTTCTAGCTGAATGTCTAGCTACGCGCCTGGTTCAGTTTAGCAGTTTGCAGTTTAGTTTGGTTTTCCCTATTTTTAAAATTATTAGAAACACGCAAAACTTTTTAGATCTAAGGTTGTCGATCAAGAATCTTTTAGAATAAATTTAGTCAATCTAGAATTTTGAACTTTAATGTCTAAAGCAAACTAAATCTATAAGCTCAAAAAAAAATTAGAAATACGAAAAGGGTAAAACTTGGTAACTTGATTCCATGTAAAAATTCGGGGGGCAACTAGTAATTAGAGGGCACCTTGTATCCCCTTTAATTCGATTTTAAAGAATTTTTAAATATTTGAAAACAGTCCCTTTCAAACTTTTATAGTTATCTTTAGCTCTTCTAAAACTATCTAAAACAGATATTAACAAACTTTTAGAAAAATGGAGGGCCACAAGAATGTCAGATTTCGAAGTACAAGTTATAATTTTTTGGTTAAAGAATACAGAAAATATGCTTTATACATGAGATAAAAATGAGATGAAATTAGTATGTGTATGAAAAAAAATAGATAAAAACAGTCTAATTGGAAAGGTGTTTTAAATTGGAAATATACAATGGAAAGATATTTGTCAGACAAGGAATTCCCCTTTACGCTTTGGTGTACTCCTTTTTTTTAATAATTTCAATTCAATTTCAATTCAATTTCAATTTCAGATTTATCAGATTTTTTTGTTTCCATTGACATTGTAAATTTCCAAACTTTCAAAGCCGCGACATCATTTTAGAGGGAACATTTCTTAACACTGGCGTCACAAAAAAGATGAAGTAGCAAAAAAATTATAAAGTTTCTAAAATTGTGAAATATTTAGTTGTCCTAACGATGATATTCCTGTATGTGGGGATAACTCCAAAACTTACAGGTAACTTGTAACTTGTAACTTGTAATTAGAGATTGGGCACAAGCACAACCTTTTTAAACTTTTTATGTTTTCAGTCTTGATCGTTTTTAGTTTGTTTTTACACTTATCTTCTTTTAGGATTACAATTTGGTACATATTGAGACAATCAACCTAAAAAGATTAAAAAAAACTTAACAATTTCACTACTTGTAGCCATATTTTTGCATTTCTTTGTAGAATTCAGATCAATTACAGTAGAAACTTTGAAATAATATAGATCAACCTCACTTCTTCTAGTTTTATTTTTGCATTTCTTTATAGAATTCAGATCAATTGCAGCAGAAACTTTGAAATAATATAGATCAACCTCACTACCTGTAGTTATATTATTGCATTTCTTTATAGAATTCATATCAATTGCAGCAGAAACTTTGAAATAATATAGATCAACCTCACTACCTGTAGTTATATTATTGCATTTCTTTATAGAATTCAGATCAATTACAGCAGAAAGTTAGAAATAATATAGATCAACCTCACTTCTTGTAATTTTATTATTGCATTTCTTTATAGAATTCAGATCAATTGCAGCAGAAACTTTGAAATAATATAGATCAACCTAAAATCCAAATAATTGTTATAATCTAATCAGTGACTTCTTGGGGCACCTTGAAAATGTTTTTGTTCATCATGAAATTTTAAATAATGTATATGTGTAAAAGAGTTATCTCCCTATTCCATAGTTATATTGGTCTATACTGTCAGTGTATAGTGTACTAGCGTGGAATCCCAGCTTTGTCTGGAGTTTTCCCTGTGAAGTCCATCCACTTAACTTAGAATTTTTAAGCTAGGGTAAGATTATACCAGTCGTTATACTGAGTAGTAAGTACCCCAATCAAATTTGGAGTCAAATCGGTCAAGGGGTTCATAACTTGTGTTCGGACATTTAAACAAATAGACTGACAAACAGAGATTACTACTTTGTATATATAAGATAGCTTGGGAACCCAGATTTACCTTTGTAGATAAAGTTTTCTTTATAAGTGTCAAGAGTCTTAGAACATTCACGTGGTTCCCAAATCAAAATTTGAGGCAAATCGGTTACAGGGTTCCTGATCGGACAGACAAATAGAAATAACTACTAATGTATATTCATAGAAAGTGTGTATTTACTGTACTTTATAGTTTATACTTTGTATTTTAGAAAAATGACACTTTGTATTGTACAGGAATGAGTGTATTGTACAGGAATGAGTGTATTGTACAGGAATGTGTGTATTGTACAGGAATGAGTGTATTGTACAGGAATGAGTGTATTGTACTGGAATGAGTGTATTGTACTGGAACGGTTGTATTGTACAGGAATGAGTGTATTGTACAAGAACGGTTGTATTGTACAGGAATGAATGTATTGTACAAGAACAGTTGTATTGTACAGGAATAAGTGTATTGTACAGCTGAACGGTTGTATAGTACAGGAATGAGTGTATTGTACAGGAACGGTTGTAGTGTACAGAAACGGTTGTTTAGTACAGGAATGAATGTATTGTACTGGAACAGTTGTATAGTACAAGAATGAGTGTATGGTACAGGAACGGTTGTATAGTACAGGAATGAGTGTAGTGTACAGGAACGGTTGTATATTACAGGAATGAGTGTATTGTACAGGAACAGTTGTATAGTACAGGAAGGAGTGTATGGTACAGGAACGGTTATATAGTACAGGAATGAGTGTATGGTACAGGAACAGTTGTATAGTACAGGAATGAGTGTATGGTACAAGAACAGTTGTATAGTACAGGAATGAGTGTATGGTACAGGAACGGTTTATGTATTTTTTTCGAGTTAAGTCAAGCCGAGGCAATTTCTTAACGTAATTTGCCAACATCTATATTCAAATAAGAACTGGGAGTGAATGTATAAGTAGTATCCCGTCTACGGACCAATGATGAAGAAGACTTCTTAGGTCAATCTACGAATAAAGTAGTGTACTGTACTTTTCATAAAATTAAATAATGGAATGTATTGTACATGAATGTGTGTATTGTACAGAAATGTGTGTATTGTACAGGAAGAAGTGTATTGTACAGGAATGAATGTATTGTACAGGAACAGTTGTATTGTACAGTAATAAGTGTATTGAACAGGAATTAGTGTATTGAACAGGAATTAGTGTATTGTACAGGAACGGTTGTATTGTACATAAATGAATGTATTGTACAGGAATAGGTATACTGAACAGGAATAAGTGTATTGTACAGGAACAGTTGTATTGTACAGGAACAGTTGTATTGTACAGGAATGAATGTATTGTACAGGAATGAATGTACTGCTCAGGAATGAGTGTATTATACAGGAATAAGTGTAATGTACATGAATAATTGTACTGTACAGGAATAAATGTACTGTACAGGAATGAGTGTATTGTACAGGAATAAGTGTATTATACAGGAAAAAGTGTGATGTACATGAATAAGTACATTGTATAGGAATGAATGTATTGTACAGGAATGAGTGTATTGTACAGGAATGAATGTATTGTACAGGAATGAGTGAATTGTACAAGAACGGGTGTATTGTACAGGAATGAGTGTATTGTACAGGAATGAATGTATTATACAGGAAAAAGTGTGATGTACATGAATAAGTATATTGTATAGGAATGAGTGTATTGTACAGGAATGAGTGTATTGTACAGGAATGAATGTATTGTACAGGAATGAGTGAATTGTACAAGAACNTGTATTGTATAGAAATGTGTGTATTGTACAGGAATGAGTGTATTGTACAGGAATGAGTGTATTGTACAGGAATGAGTGTATTGAACATGAATAAGTGTATTGTACAGGAATGAGTGTATTGTACAGGAATGAGTGTGTACTGGAATAAGTGTAATGTACTGGAATGAATGTATTGTACAGGAATGAATGTATTGTGCAGAGAAATTGATGAACTGTACAGGAATGAATGTGAGATGAGGATGGAGGAGTGTACCCTGGGTATGGTGATCAACATCAACTACAAGGGAGAGTGCAGATCAACTACTGGGTAAATAATATAATAATTTTTTTTTGAGTCGATTGCTAGTTGTTTTGAGATTTCATTCCCTGATAAAATGCAACCCCTTCCAGAAAAAATAGACTGAAGCACTGATAATATCGAGAAAACGTAAAGCCAAATTCTTTAATATAAAGTTGAGATAACCCTGTCAGGAAACTAAATCTAGATTTAAAGAATATATTTCAGCGTATACTCGCCTTGTGAGGGCAGCACGAAAAAAATACTTCGATGATAAATTTCAAGAATATAGTAAAGATTGTAAACAAACATGGCAAGCTATTAATAGTGTACTAGGAAGGGAACGTAAAACAGTAACCAATCCTGATGCATTTGTCAGCAATGAAAAAGTTCTCTCAGGGGCGGTAGAAATGTCAGAGGGTTTGATATTTTTTGCTAATATAGGTTTTGATCTACAGGGTGTCCCAAAAAACATGGGAATTCAGTGACGAATTCGATATCGTCTTTTCAAATAATTCTTTGATTTAGTACAGTGATACCTACTGAGATCCTTAATTCATTTCTTAGATAAAATATACAACGCACTAAATAAACCTGTATCCGAATATACTCTGGGAATTTTTATAGATTTAACTAAAGCTTTTGATACATGTGATGTGGAAATTATACTGAGCAAGCTTGAACAATATGGATTTCGTGACACTTAAAGAAATCTCTTGTACCACTGCAAGGGTCGATATTAGGACCAATTTTATTTCTATTTCTTATCAATGACCTTCCTCAAGCATCGACATTTTTTACAATTCCTTTTGCCGATAATACAACACTGCAACTATATTCAACTTATACGATGATTTGGAAAACTTATAGCTCTCTAAAATAGAAGATTGATATAAAGCAAACAAACTGACTTTAAATGCGTCTAAAACCAAATATATTCTCTTCAAAAAAAAGAAGATGTAAATATCACCTCTCTTAAACTTCTAAAAGATAATAAAGGTATAGAAAGAGTATGAACTGGATGTAAAAATGAATCTTTTAAGTTTGTAGGTGTTCATTTAGACGAAAATCTTAACTGGAACCATAATCTTAAGTCAGTTAAAAACAAAGCATCCAGTGCAGTTTTTGCATTGTCATGTGTAAAAATATTCTTCTTAGTAATATTAAACTAACGATTTACTATTCTTTATTTCGATCATTTATTGAATATGGAATTTCAGCCTGGGAGAGAAACAAATGTTTTGAAATGAAACAAAATCACATTTACGGAAACGAGCAATACGATTAATTGATAACTCAAAAGCCACGTGACCACGTCTCATAGTGATCCTCTTTTCCATAAGTGTAAGATTCTAAAGATTATTGATCTGGTAGACTTTAACCAAGCTAAATTTATGTATAAATATACAAAAAAAAACTTCTCCCTAGTCCCTACATCTTTTCAGGACATTTAATCAAAACAGCCAAGAGCTATTTTACACCTAATTGCTTTATACTTGTACTGTTAAAATAATTATCAATTTGTAATTGTAAACTCGTTCTGTACACAGATACATGTACTTTAACTGTCTCAGGGTTTTTTTAAACGAAAACCCCCTAAATATTGGAATTACGAAATCTAATGTTATATCTGTATTGTTATTAATCTATGTTACAGATGTTCTGACTTGTGTGAATCCACGAGTACCCAGCGAGTGTGTGGGTCAGATAGGTTGACCTACGACAATGTTTGCCAGCTACAGATACAGGCCTGTCAGACTGCAACAAATATTACAGTTGTTCATCAGGTATGAAAAAATAAATTTTTAATAGCACTTGTCCACCTCAGGGTTGTCAAGTAATCTACTATGAACTAAATTGGACCCGATCTGTACAGTCATTTCCACGTTATTAGTATTAAAAATAGACAAACTTTTATATATTTTTTTAATGACATTTGATCAAATATCATATCATATCTCATCAGAAACCTAACAAATCTCATCAGAATCCTAACCCATCTTATCACAAACCATTCAAATCTCATCAGAATCCTAACATGTCTTATCAGAAACCTAACTAATCTCATCAGAATCCTAACATACATCTTTTCAGAATCCTAGCATATCTCATCAGAATTCTAATATATCTTATCAGAATCCTAACCTATCTCTTCAGAATCCTAACATTATATCAACAGAATTCTAACATACCGCTTCAAAATCCTAACATATCTCATCAGAATATTAACGTATATCAACAGAATCCTGACATATCTCATCAGAATCCTAACATATCTCATCGGAATCCTAACATATCTCATCAGAATCCTAACATATCTCATCGGAATCTTAACATGTCTCAATAGAATCCTAACATCTCATCAGAATTCTAAGCATATCTCATCAGAATCTTAACATATCTTATCAGAATCCTAACATATCTCATCAGAATCCTGACATATCTCATCAGAATCCTAACATATCTCATCAGAATCCTAACATATCTCATAGGAATCCTAACATATCTCATCAGAATCTTAACATGTCTCAATAGAATCCTAACATCTCATCAGAATTCTAACATATCTCATCGGAATCCTAACATATCTCATCAGAATCTTAACATGTCTCATCAGAATCCTAACATCTCATCAGAATCCTAACATATCTCATCAGAATCCTAGCATATCTCATCAGAATCTTAACATATCTCATTAGAATTTTTACATATCTCATCAGAATCCTAACATATCTCATCAGAATCATAATATATCTCATCAGAATCATAATATATCTCATCAGAATCATAATATATCTCATCAGAATCCTAATAAATGTCATCAGAATCCTAACATTTTCTGACTGTCATATATTCTTGTTTAAATGTAGGGCGGATGTTCTCACTGTATTATTTTTAAATGTAGGGCGGATGATCTAACCGCCAAATTATTGTTTAAATGTAGGGCGGATGTTCTAAATGTCATACTATTGTTAAAATGTACGGCGGATGATCTAACTGCCATATTATGGTTTAAATGTAGGGTGGATGTTCTAACTGAAATATTATTGTTTAAATGTAGAGAGGATCTTCTATCAGTATTATTTTTTTAAATGTAGGGCGGATGTGCTAACTGTAATATTGTTTTTTAAATGTAAGGCGGGTGTTCTAACTGTCCTAATATTGTTTAAATATAGGGCAGATGTTTTAACTGTCAAATTATTGTTTAAATGTATGGCAGATGTTCCAAGTCTCAAATTCTTGTTTTAATGCAGGGATGATATTCTAACTGTCATACTATTGTTTAAATCTTATGGCGGATGTTCTAACTGTAAGGCGAATGTTCCAACTGTCAAATTCTTGTCCTAATGTAGGGAGTATGTTCTAACTGTCATTCTGTTGTTTACATGAAGTGCAGATGTTCTAATTGTATTTTTTTTATGTAGGGCGAATGTACTTACTGGCATATTATTGTTTAAATGTAGGGCGGATTTTCTAACTGTATTATTGTTTAAATGTAGGGAAGATATTCGAACCTACATATAATTATCAAAATGTAGGGCGGATGTTACAATTTGCATATTCATGTTTAAATGTAGGGCGGATGTTCTAACTGTCATATCATTATTTAAATGTAGGGCGAATATTCTAACTGTCATACTGTTGTTTAAATGTAGGGCGAATGTTCTAACTGTATTATTACTGTATTATTTTTAAATATAGGGCGGTTGTTCTAACTGTAAGGCAAATGTTCCAACTGTCAAATTCTTGTCATAATGTAGGAAGTATGTTCTAACTGTCATACTGTTGTTTTAATGAAGGGCAGATGTTCTAACTGACTATTATTTTTTTTATGTAGGTGGATGTTATAACTGTCATATTGTTTAAATGTAGGGAAGATATTCAAAGTGACATATCATTTTTTAAATGTAGGGCAGATATTCTAACTGTCATATTGTTGTTTAAATGTAGGGCGAATGTTCTAACTGTCACCCCCTGAATGAATGGATGTGCCGGGATACGATGTGTGTCTCGAACTCTAAGCTCTGTGATGGAAAACTGGATTGTAAGGATGGGTCAGATGAAAGCTTTTGTGAGTTTGTTTGCAAGAACGGAGACTCTATCAGGGAACTGAACATTTTTATAAACAAGATACATTTAAAGGGACTTGTAGACGTAAATCCAAGTGACCCTTCGTTTGAAGAGAATTTCATTTTCAATTCACAACGAAACCCTTTAAGAACCTCTATCTGAAATCAATGATTAGCCAAAGGTATAAAAAGTACCTTTTTGAATTATTTCTTTAGTTCCTAAAGCTGATAAAATTAAGGTTCACACCCAAAAATAAAACTTATGAAGACTAAAATCTGAAGGTTACATTTTAAATAATTTAATAAAAAATAGCGAAAAATGTAAATCTAGTGTGAAAGATAAATTCAATAAACACGATTTGAAAAATTCTGCAGATTATATCTACAGGGTTACCCACTAACGATGATACTTTAAAGACGGCCTAAACCTTGAAAGATGTCGGCCTGAACTTCTGAAGGTTTCATTTTTATCTGAAATTTTTTGTGGGTAACCCTTTTTAAAAACAAGAACCTCTATGGGAGAGATTAAAATACTTAGATTCTTATAGTCAATTTATCCTTTTTTTCTAAAAATAATCAATATTGTTCAAAGGATAGATCAATTTTATTAAAATCTATTTTTTGTACAATTGCATATCTAAAATCTAGCTTTGTCAGTAATCTTACAAATGAATTGGTTTGCGTATTAAGACTAGGTTTTAATACAGCAATTAGATGCATTCAATTTGGCTTGTTTGGTTAATTTTATGTGTTTGGTTTGGTTAGGTTTAGCATACTTAAATTAAAATTATTTCGTGGATTTTCTTTGAACCTCTTTGGTTTGTTAAGTTGATCAATCTTGAATCTTGATAAAAACTTTTTACTTAAATTATGTTTATCTTGGTTTGCTTGGGCAAACTTGAATAATTTCGCAGATTTTCTACTGAAAATTATGTTTGGTTTGGTTTGGTTGGGCAAATTTGAATATTTTCGAAGATTTTGTAATGAAAATTATGTTTCATTTGGTTTGGTTGGGCAAACTTAAAGTTAAATAATTTCGGAGATCTTCTTATGAAAATTTGTTTTGTTTGGTTTGGTTTGGTTGGCCAAACTTGAATAATTTCGCGGATTTTCTTATGAAAATTATGTTTTGTTTGGTTTGGTTTGATTGGGCAAACTTAAATATATTTTCATTAGAAAATGATTTCGCAGATCTTCTGATGAAAATTATGTTTGGTTTGATTTAGTTGGGAAAACTTAAATATTTTTGTAGATTTTGTAATGAAAATTATATTTGGTTTAGTTGGGCAAACTTGAATAATTTTGTAGGTTTTCAAATGAAAATAATGTTCGGTTTGGTTGAGTAGACTGCAGCAACAATGTGATGGGTTCCCTGACTGCATGAATGGAGAGGATGAGAATGATTGCTCTAATGTGTACACTGCGGGAATTTCAGGTATACATGTGCATTGTACATTGCATATTGTACATGTGCAATTTCTACATTGTACATCGTAGATGTGCAATTTCATGTATGAATGGACCAATTTACATTGAACATTTACAATTTCATGTAAACTTGTACAATGTACATTGTACAATTACATTTTAAATTTGTGCTTGCATATGCTAATTAGTATTCCTTAACTATACTGTTGTGACTGACGTTGCCCAGGTTTATATTATCACTTATAGTCATACTCCTACTGTTTATCCAGACTTGGCATTAAATTTTAACTGAAATATCCGGCGTTCGCCGTGGAATTAAAACAAAATCCAAATTTTCTATTACCCATGAGCTATAGATTCCCTCGAAAAAAAGTCTGCCAATTTGGTCCAACTCTTTTTTGCAAACATGCTATAGAAAACATACATTATATTTATATGAACTATACATATGAGAGAAAAGCTTTATTATGTAGAGGACAATTCCTGAGAAATCACATGTTGAATAATCTTTTTCTAGTTTGTGACGGTTTAGATGAATATATGTGCAAAGATACGTTCAAGTGTATTTCAAGGTAATACAATATTGAAACATTTTAATGAAATTAATAATTCAAAATATCGGGAAATCTAGTATTTTACTCGTAATTTTTCAGTCTAATATAAAAAACACCCCTTTAAAATTCTTAAACTTTTAACTAATAATTCTGTAAAAGAAAGTTTTCATTTGCATGCTCAAAATTATAAACACTGTAAGGGCAATGGTTCTTTTGTATGGTCAGTTTGACTTTAATAGAAGTCTCTCCATATCACTGCAAATTAACCAGGAGAAGAAAGTAATTGAGTCGTTGCAACAAATTCAATTTTTCCAATCCGAACATCTTTGCAACCTGATGGTATTAACCTCAGATATTTCAAACTTATATTAGTTGATCTAACATAATTCATAGTTAAAAATATGGTTATAGGCCAGTGGGTTGCAAAGATTGGAAAATCAGAGTTTGGGGCAAAGACTCAATTTCTTTATGCAACATTACACTGCTGGTACAACTTTGTGAACTCTAGTTTTGTTTTTAAGTATAAGAAATTTATCTGAGCACTTATGCGAAGTGTTCAAACATTTTTTTTTTTTTTTTAATAGCTCTTAAAAAGAGGAGTTGTGATTAAAAACATATAAAATTTAAATTTTCCGTGTTATTTACTTTAGTTTAAAGTGAAGGAAGGAATAGGAAACACATTTCAATTCCAATTCAAAACAATGACTTTGTTAGCATTATCATTCTAATCAAGTTTCTAAAAAGAATATTATCATATTTATAGCAATTCTCTTGTCAATAAATAAAACAAAAAATTATTTTTTTTAAAAATCATATACATATTTTATTCTTCTATAATTAACATTGCTAGGCATTCCATGTAAGAAAAGCTAGTCAAAAAGCAATTGTTAAAAATTGTTTAAAATCCAAAAATCAATCTTTTCTAGATCTAAAGTTTGTAATGGAGAAGTGGATTGCCCAAACGAAGACGACGAATTTGATTGTGCAAGATCTAAAGGTATATAATATATCAATACGGTATCTTGCATAGTTCATCCCTAGCCTTAATAAAATACAATAAAAAAAAATATTAAAAAGTTAAAAGAAATTAAAACATATATTCACATTATCTTTAAAATGTATTTTTTTTTAGGGGGGGGGGTGTTTAGAACCTTGACTTCTATTACCAGAAACCCAAACGTCTGTACCAATTTCTATACTTTCAATTGTTAAAGAAAATCATTTGATATTTTGATTTCTATAGTGAAAAAGTTACTCTCTTACATATTGTTTTTCTTTTATTTCTGTGACAAATCAATTTACGATTTTGTTTTTGTAATCCTGGATACTGATGTTTTAGTTCCTGACTGGAATGAAGTGGTTTGGACTGATGGAGACTATGGTGGAGTTGATGAAGATGCACGAGATGGTCGAGGAGATATTACAGCTGACGAAGAAGTTGATTATTCACAAGATTGGTTCTAGCTAACTTCTTACAAATTATAATATGTGTTAAAAACAGATTAAACAAATAAAAGGAAAGACATTTTTTGTTCAGTATAATTTAATTTTATTTTTTCCAATTTTGTTCTTATCGTAGATTTATCATTATTATCATTATTATTATTATTATCAAGTATTTCTATAAAGTTTTTGATCGATATATAACTTGTTGATAGCTACGCTTGTAATCCTGTCTGTATTTAGAGTCGAAGTAATAGCTTGTTGATTGCTACGCTTGTGTCCCATTTGTGGCATTTAGAGCCAAAGTAAAAGCTTGTTGATAGCTAAACTGAAACCCTGTTTTGATAAACAGGTAGAATCATTTGGGATCAATATATAGATTGTTTATAACTACGCCTGTGTCCCTGTGTGGCATTTAGAGTCTGAGTAATAGGTAGATTGATAAGCTACGCTTGTGTCCCTGTGTGGCATTTAGAGCCAAGTGGGTTGCGTCCTGGTTGACTTGGATAGAGGACTGGTTGTGCATGACTGATACAGTTTGGGGGACGAACTTTTAAGAGTACGGCATTTACTACAACTGTAAATATACATACATCAAGCATTTTTGATGACTAGTCCTAACATATGCAAAGTGAAAAAAAATAAGGTTTATACTGTAAATATTGTCTCTAAATTCCATATTTTTCTCAGATTTGAATACTTTATTCTGTATTCCTCAAGATGTTTCTGACACTATTTATATTATATTTAACAGAATCTTTAATTGTCAATCAATATTTAAAGACAATTAAGGAGATGAGCAAATTTTTAATGGATCTTTTGTTCCGCCCCTTCTCCCTGACAAATTCCCCCCCCCCTGGAATTCAGAGCTATCACACTTTTCAAATCTGAAACTGAAGAGTGAAGAACATAAATAGTTGTATAACAATTCATATAACAAAAAATGTGCAACTATTTAATTATTGTTTTTTCACTTGGCACTTAAGGGGCGTATTCAGGAATTTGATCAGGGGGGGCTTACATTTTTTTATCTTTCCAGGGGGGTAATGGGGATTCAGCATCCGCTGGGCCTGAAAACCCCCTGAAATCAATAGATTTCAATTTTCCAGAGATGCTTAGCCCCCATTGCCCCCCCCCCCCTAAATACGCCGGCCAAGGAGCATTGGACCTATAACATGCATAAAGATTCCAGTGCCCCTTTTGAAAAAGGAACTTTTTTGAACTTTTGAACAAACATAAGCAATTTGTATGGGTGGATCTCATCGTTTTCAACCATGTCATGGCGCATTTTTAGCCATCTGTTAACAATCGTAAATTTGAGTTTCTAGGTGCTTCATGGCAAAATTAGCACTGGCTCGATTCTAATTAAATTTTTTGTTATTGTTTTTTTAATTATTATTTTTTGTTAATATTCCATATTTTGAATTTTGTTTTTTTTTCTCTGATTTTATATTCCATGAAGTATGAGATACGTAAAACCTAGGATGCAGATCATTTTAGAAAAGTAATGGAGTTTTTGGATTTAATGGGGTTGATGAGCCAGTTCTGAGCCATGAGCCAAAAGCTGCCGACCAAGTGATGAATGGGATGTTTTAAGTTCGATCCGATCCTGTCCGCTTTTAATAACCGATTCATAGCTTTTATTTAAGAAGTTGAGCATACGAATTTTTACGCAAATATAATTAAAAATACGTTTAAAGTATTTTTTGGTTTTAAGGGTGTGTATCCTTTAAAGATATACAAGAAGCCAAATGTTTTGAATTCACAGTTCGAATTGCATGTCCTAGCAGTAGCCGCAGCGCTCGGCCCAGAAAGTGTCCTAACCTAACCCTAAATAATAAAAAAATGAAAAATAATAAATTTGCTGAAAAATAAGTGGTCATGTACAAAATTGATAGGAGGGGGTGGGGGTCCTAAAATCGTTCTCTAGGACAGACCCCAATGTTTTAAGTCAAAGAAAACAACGTAAAGGGTCTTTCCTAGGGAACGCTATTTTCGTTCGGGCCCTTCCCGCCACCCCCCCCCACCGCAATCATTTTGCATATGTTATTAATACGTTTTATTTGTGGATGTAGAGAAAAATGTACGGAGAAAAGGGAATACAGTTGATAAGAGAAGCGGCAAGGTCAGAGGAATCTTTGGCGCCCTTCAACGAAGATATCGTCAGACAAACGTTAGGTATAACGAATTTATTAATTTATGTTGTTTCTTTTATTTTTCATGACTTAATGACCGAGAAGAATAAATTGAAACGAAACAGTTTTGAAGATTAATTGGAAGAGTTTTATTTCAGGTTATTCAGCTCAAGGCTGGGCTACAATATCATCTTCCAAAGGAACTTTGTGAGCAACTTATACTCCAAGGAGTCCTAGAGCACATACCCTCCTAGAATATATTCTACAAGGAGTCCTAGAGCATATAATCTCCTAGGAGTCCGAGAGCACATACCCTCCTAGAACATATTCTACAAGAAGTCCTACAGCATATACCTTTCTAGAATATATTCTACTTGGGGTCGTAGGGCATATACCCTCCTAGAACTTATTCTAGTATGAGTCCTTGAGCATATACCCTTCTAAAACATATTCTACTAGGAGTCCTAGAGCATATACACTCCTAACTTACTCTACTAAGAATCATAGAGCATATACACTCCTAGAACTTACTCTACTAGGAATCATAGAACATATACCCTCCTAGAACTTATTCTACTAGCAGTCTTAGAGCATATAACCTCCTAGAACTTATTCCACTAGGAGTCCTAGAGCATATACCCTCCTAGAACTTATTCTACTAGGAGTCTTAGAGCAGAACTAGAACTTATTCTACTAGGAGTCCTAGAGCATATACCTTCCTAGAACATAAAATAAAACCCTCCTAGAGTATTATCCAATTCCGGTATCTTAGAACCTCTACTTTAGAAATATACTACGAACAACAGGGCATCCAAGATAATATTTTTTTTCTTTTCTAGAAAATAAGAATTGTAATTCAAATTCAAATTATAAATCCTTTCTTCTTATTCTTATATGAAACCTTTGTACCTGGTTTGATAACTGATACGCTTTACTTACTTACTATGTACCTTTTATTATTTTTATACAGCTTCATGATAAACAATAAACATCTACTGCACTTGTACATTTTTAAATGTATACCATTTACCACACAACGCATTTGTACTGTGCCTAATATAATCTGAAATTATACTTTTTTCAGAAAAATGCCTGACATGCATTTTTGTAGATGCATCTTTATGAAATTATAAGTTTAATGTGTAGTTGTGGGGCCTGGCTCCTAGCCTAGGCATTCGGTGCCCGTGCAGAAGCGTAGATAGGGGGGGGGGTAATTAACTTATCCTTCAGCCGCAGCGCTCGGCCCAGAAATTTTCGCGGCCCCAAGGATAGGGTGATCTTTGTTAATTTAGGGAACTAAAATTTAAAACTGGATATTAAAAGACAAGTTTTATTCTTTTTAACACTTTTTACCCAAAAATTCATTTAGTTCCCCCTATTCATGGCGTATTAAATCACAATTAAAAATAACACAACTTCTAGGGGTAAATTTAGTTTTAAAGAGGGAGTTGGACATGATTTTTCTAGAAATAAACACCCCTGAAATTACATACTATTATAAGGACCCGTTCCACCATTTGCGATTTCTCATTTTATTAATTTATCTAGAGAGGCAGGCATTCCTTGGTTGCGCCTCTATCTATAAATATGTTTTCACAAAAATTGTTCTCAACATATAACTATATAAGATTTCTTGTACATCTTCGCTCATATTAATATATTAATATGTATATATAATATACTTCCTTATGAATCATTATGTATATGTATCTGTGTATATATATATATTATACGTTAGCTTTATCTGGCCAAACGGCTGGACCAAATTGGCCAAATTTTTTCTCTCAAAAATAATTCTTTTATTAAATATTTTTTAAAAGGTTGTTCTTAAATTCCACTGGCCTACGCCGTGCACTTTACATATTATCGTTCTTGTAGAGGAAACAAGAAACCTCTGGGATGAGAACAGGGCCGAGGTGGCGCTAAACTCCACAATTTCTCCTGCCATTACGCTCAGGTTTAAAATTATAAACAATCCGTACTACAATACAATCGAAATCTATCGATGGGACTGTCACAGTTTCAATTTAACTTTCATTTTAAAAGACGAAGGGTAAGGCCCAATTCATAACAGTAACCTTCAAATCTGTATCTGATCACAATTGTGGAATTATCGACGTTTCCTAACTTCCTTCATTGTTTCTGAAGTTGCAATGTAACTTCATGTCACTTATCACAATTGAAAATCATCCTTTTTTAAAAGTAAACTTTGGATATTTCAATCAAATTCTTGAATTGATAAAGCTTTCAAGGATACCGTTGTGAATCGGACATTCCTCTCAGTCAATGGAAGGTTGCTTGATGTTGTATTTCTGTCCCTGTAAATTAAAAATAATGTTATTAACTATTTTTTTGTTCAACAGCTTAAGTTAAATACAGTGGAGGTTTTGTTGTGTGAAAAAATTAATATTTTATGTCTGTAGGCACGCTGCTATCGAGCGTAACAAAAGATGTTTATTAGCGTATCTAAACAATAGGATGGAGACAATCCGGTAGGTGGCAATATTATCATATCCAAGCAATATTATCATATCCAAGCAATATTATCATATCCAAGCAATATTATCATATCCAAGCAATATTATCATATTCAAGGAAGATTATCGAAAATGTATTTTTGGAAACACCTTTTTTTCTGTGTTCAAGGGAATTTGTTGGATAAAATGAAATCAACGTTTTTAAATTGTGATTTAGAAAATTATAACTAATTTTTAGCCTCTCATTGGTCCTCATATGTAAGAATATATGTTTGTGAAACTTTATATATATTTATTTAAATTTTGAATATATATACTGAAGTCGTAATTTTAATTGACCCTCCGCTTTTAGAGTGGGATATTGAATTCCAAAACGGTTCCATTTAAAACTAAGTATGATTAAGGATAACAGAGTTATTATTATTCTCCAGCTGAAAATTAATTATTCTCAATCAATGGGAGGAAATTCTGAGAATTTTACATTGAATTTATGGCGATAACGATAGCTTAATTCATCATTGTTGTTTCAGATGAATATTTCGTTGTGAATCAGACATGCCATTCTCAAAATATGGAGATTAATTGACATAACGCCTGCAGTTCCTTTTCTCACAATGTATATAATCCCTTCTATTGTTTAGTGAAATGAGATGGCAGTTTGGGGCAGTTTTACCTGAGGGTATACGGTTAAATCTAGCTGAACCAGAACTTGAGTTCTCCAGGTAGTGAATACGGTTAAATCTAGCTGAACCAGAACTTGAGTTCTCAAGGTAGGGAATACGGTTAAATCTAGCTGAACCAGAACTCGAGTTCTCAAGGTAGGGAATACGGTTAAATCTGGCTGAACCAGAATTTGAGTTCTCAAGGTAGGGAATACGGTTAGATCTGGCTTAACCAGAACTTGAGTTCTCAAGGTATGGAATACGGTTAAATCTAGCTGAACCAGAACTTGAGTTCTCAAGGTAGGGTATACGGTTAAATCTAGCTGAACCAGAACTTGAGTTCTCAAGGTAGGGAATACGGTTAAATCTAGCTGAACCAGAACTTGAGTTCTCAAGGTA